TTTCCTTCATCTAATGTTTACTGTGGGATTTTATCGCTTTCCCTTAGTCTCCGCGAGTAAGAGTGCCCTCCCCCCCCCCCCCCCCTCCCCCTGCCGCAGCCGCGACGCGAAGGGTGACTTCGGGCGGCCGGAGCGAAGCGAAGCGCGCACCCCGGCACTAAACGGCCCGGACGGCCAATTCCAAGCCACGGCCCCGGGTTCAAACACCCGTTCCCTGCTCCCGTTTTCGCTGATTTCTGCCTCTTGACGTTCGGGGCGGGGAACTCGAACCGAGCGTGTGACCCCACCAATGGATCGCTCTCCGAACGAGGGATCCACTGGTAGAGTCACACGTTCGGTTCGAGTCCCATTTAGCGACTCTGGAGCTCAAAACGCGTCTAGAGTTTTGTCCGCCTCCACCGGTCTTCTGGCCCACTGTGCGCCGCCGTCCTCAGCCCTATAACATGACACTACACATGTTGGTGTCCTGCAGGCATGGACACCCTATCCGGCGGCGCGCCCGGCCCGGTGCCCCAGGGCTTCCCCCCTCCCTTTCCCTTTCTCTGCCCTTCTCCCTCGGCTCCCCGTGCTCCCTGCCAGGCTGTCCACCACGCCGTTCCCTTTAATGCCGAAAACTTCATTCGCGCTCTCGGCAGGGCGGCAGCGTGATGGAGGACGCCGTAAAGAGGCAGGTGCTGAGCGCACTTTGGCCAGTAAGCCTCTTACGCACGGCGTAGCACGGCGTAGCACGGCGGGGCGGGGGCCGGGGCATCAACAGCAGCAGCGTACTGCCCATCAACGCCGCCATCGCCATCGAACGGTTTAATATTTAATTGACACTAAAACCTGTTGCGCCAAGCGCGTCGCAACGGCCATGGCGCCCGCCACCCGGAGTAGCGCCGCCAACACCCCGGGCATTTTGCATACTGTAGTCAGAGAGAGAGAGAGAGAGAGAGAGAGAGAGAGAGAGAGAGAGAGAGAGAGAGGGCGCCGCCGGTCCGATGACGTGTTCCGATGTTTAGCCGGTCCGATGTTCCCCGGCGAGAACGAGGATTATGTTTCCAAACGATGGCCAAGCAAGCCCAGCCAGCCCGCCCGCCCAAGGTAAGGCGCACTCACTGCCCCCGGCGCGGACAGGGAGAGCCTGATGCAGGCCCAGCGCCGGTGGTGCCTACAGTGTGCCTACACCGAGGCCAGCACCCAGCACGCACTGTGTAAAACGATACGTTGCCTGCGGTTCCCATGGATAGGACCAGGGCGACCGGGGCGAGGGCGCAGGGGCGCTGTCATAAACAACTCGATTGCCCCGCGTCCACGCACACGCACGCACACTCACTCACCACACACACACACACACACACGCTGCCCCTGCCGGCATGCAGGGTAGGCATAGCTAGCCGCGGCCAGTCGGCCGGACTCGGCTGGACTTCCCCCCGGGCGACGCAGTGGACTTGAAGCCCCCACGTCCCGGTCCATCCCGGTCCCGACCGTCCCGACCCGACTGATGCGATGGACAAGATGGCTGTGCTCTGTCCCTCTCGCACCCTTGGGGGCCTTGGGCCACGCCCGGGCACGCCCCGTGAGTGCGAGAGAGACGGCAACTGCCGGCAACTGCCCGCCGGCCGGCCGTAAATGGTTAGAGCATAGCATCGCGTAGCGGGCCGGGCTTTTAGGAACACGGCCACTCTCTGTCTCTCTCGCACTCACGCGGCAGCCGCGGCAGTCCCCACAGGTGCGAGAGAGACAGTGCAGTCTGCATAGGCAAGCCTCGAGGAACGCGAAACGCCAGCAAAAATGTGCCGCCACCCCGTCCCTCTCGCACTCGTGGCTCGGTCCGTGTGGTTGAGCACTCAAGGTAGCGACTTTGGTTTTAAGGCGCTTGAGAATGGGTAAGGCGGCAAGGCACTGTTTGCTTGGCCGCGGTGTACTTCGGTACTTCGGCTCTTAGGGACGACCCCTTCCAAACCTCATTCCTTGCTCCGTGCCGCCGCGCCGCCGCGCCGTGTGTGCTCCGTGCCCACAGTGTAAGTGTCGGCTGTTTGCCTGTGTGCCGTCCTATCCCGTGTCCTATCCCCGGAAGAGCCGAGAGGCGGTAGACCAGACCACGAGCGGCACCTCACCGTTTCAACTTTTCAGTCGTCTTTGTCTTCCTCTCTGAAGGTGCGAGCGCGCGCGTCGCAGGCGCCTAACCTAACTCCATTTCCAAACTCCATTCACCTCATTTCGTTATTCGCCTCACGCTCGCCTCGTCCGCGCTGATGAGACAAATTCGTTTTTGTTGAGTTGGCGACCGTGCGAGCGTGGGCAGCGACCGATCAAGACATCACCTCGGTCATTACGTATCGATACAATCGCCTGACGAAATCTCGACCGTCGCTTCTCCGCCCTGGTCGCTCTGTCTCTCTCGCACTGATGCAAGGCGCTCCACGAGTGCGAGAGAGACAGCGAGGATTCTCCCACGCGTCGCTTCGCGTTGCTTTGGTCACGGCCTGATCGGGGTGCGCGAGCGTGTCGCCGCCCCACCCGAAGCACGAGCAGCCGCGAGCTCTCTCTGTCTCCCTCGCACCCTCATGGAGAGCCCCGTGAGTGCGAGAGAGACAGAGCGAAGAAACGACCATTCCGAATCGCTCGGCAGCACATAGAGGCCCTGTCTCTGGCCTCTCGAGCCCACGAGTCGCGACACTTGACCACCAAACTTGTTGAGGCCGGCACGGCGGCGACGGAGACGTCTCACAGTGGGCCAGTAGACCGGTGGAAGCGGCCAAAACTCTAGACGCGTTTTGAGCTCCAGAGTCGCTAAACGGGACTCGAACCGAACGTGTGACCCCACCAATGGATTGCTCTCCGAACGAGGAATCCATTGGTGGGGCCACACGTTCGGTTCGAGTCCCATTCAGCGACTCTGGAGCTCAAAACGCGTCTAGAGTTTTGGCCGCCTCCACCGGTCTGCTGGCAAGTCCACTGTGCGGCCGCGACGGTCCGCGACGCCATCGCGCGCGCTGTGATTGGTCCGGCGGGTTGCCTGGCAACGGGGACGCCATGGTGACACGACGAGTCGGTGACAGCCTCTTGATGGATCACCGCGGCGGAGGCAGCGAGGCGCGGTGGAGGGGGGAGCGCCATTCAGAGACAAGGCTCCGATTCATCGCGGCCACGCCAGGCCACGCAGTCCAGGAGGACGCCGAGAGGAGGGAGAGGGAGGGAGAGAGAGCGCAGAGAAAGGGAAGGACCCTCAAGCATGCGGCCCTCTGGGTCCTCTGGGCCCTCTGGGGGCGGCTTAAGGGCTGTAAGCCCAACACGAGGCTGTCCTAATGAGAAGTCCGCAGGCATCCCCGGACGGATCGGCTTCGCCATCTCGCTCGCACTCGCGGGGCTTCTAGTGGGGTGCGAGAGAGACGCAGCGACCTGCCCAGCGAGGACAGGCACTGGAAAAAAGAAGGGGTGGGGAGAGGAAATATGGCGAACGGGTAAATATAGAAACTGCTCGCAATTCCGACTTCAGTGCACCGACAGACACGCAGGCAGGCAGGCAGACAGACAGACAGGCAGACAGACAGACAGACAGCACAGCGGTTCCTAATTGCCCTAATGCTCGACAACTAACTGACGATGCTGTGTCAGGGACCGACCGGGGATCGGGAAGGGGAGGCTAATTATCCATTCATACGCGTAGCAGCGCGTACATAGCAGTGCGCGGCGCACTCTCTCGACGATGGCCTTTTATATTATGACGGCCTTATGTGGAATGGGGGCTGATTTCATATCCCAAACCACGCACGTTATTAGCCTCCCTCGCACACACACTCACACACTCACACACACAAACACACAAACACACACACACACACACACACACACACACACACACTCGCCCATGCTGCCCATAACAAAGGACGCTGCCAGAGAGAGCAGCAGGGATGTTGCTCGAGATGTTTCCGCCCAGCACACACGCACACACACGCGCGGGGTGCAGTTCCAGCGCGGCCCCAAATCTGAAATTCCGTCAAAGTCGGCCTGCCTGCCTGCCTGGCTGTTGAGCTGTTGGTTCGCCGCGCGCCAAGCGTCCCGAAAGGGGATGAGGTAAAAATGGAAATGGAAGTGTATGCTGCCGGGAGAGTGATTCCGAACGGAGCCTCTGCGCACCTCTGCGTCCATCTCGCTCCCCCTGCGGCCCGAGCCCTTCGGGACGCGCCGTGCGAGAGAGACAGCGCGTCACGCACTGACACGCTGTCGGCCCGTCGGACGGCGCGGCGGTGAGCCCCGTAAACACCGCCAGACTGCAGTCTGCCGCCAACCTCGCGGGGTTGCATCGGTTGAACGCGCCGAAGAGAGGGCGCGAGGCCGGACGCAGGTGCACCGAATGGGCAATGGACCGCCGAGCGCGCCGAGCGTCGCCCTCGCTCTGTCCCTCTCGCACCCTCACGGGGCGCCACCACGAGTGCGAGAGAGGGCGACGAGACGAACCCACCCTCGAAGCCATCCCGGGGAACGGCGACTCAAACACGCGGTGAAGTCGAAGCTGCCCGAGAGTGTGACAATGCACGCAGCGTGGCCGCGTGCGTAAAATGGTTGGACGTGAGCGGCCTGCAGACGTGTCCCCCCCCCCCCCCCCCAGTCGCAGCCAGTCGTCCAGAGGATCAAGACGGCCTTCGCCTGCTGCGGCGATGTCAGCTGGCTGGCCCGTAAAGTCGCCGAAGGTCTTTGCCAAGTTCTAGGGGAGAAAACACACCCTTCGCCTTTGTGTGTGTGTGTGGTGTGTGTGTGTGTGTGTGTCGCGTGTGTGTTGGTGTGAGTGCGTGCGTGTGCGCGCATGCGATGCAGCAGGAGCCGATCGGGCTGCCGTCAGCGAGAACGAAGGGGTGGTCGGGAAGGGAGATGAGGCTGCTGGCTGACGAATCAGCAGTTTTGTTGTTTGTTTTTTGCCGTTTTTCCCGCCTTGCAGCGAAAGGGAATCCAAGTTCCGGGTGCCTAATCAAGCTCTCCTCACACGGATCTGGAGTAACTTGTGGTTGTGTCGGCAGGATGCTGGGGATGCACGGGTCGAGCGGCTCCGCGGTGGAGTTCAACCCCATGAGCAGCCACAAGGACAACTGCAACCGACTGGACTACCTGGTGGAGCGGCAGCAGCAGCTGTGCGGGCTCAGCGAGAACGTCCTGACGGTGCGTGGCGAGCCGTAGGCAGCGTGGCGGCCAAGACGCGTTTTGAGCTCCAGAGTCGCTGAACAGGCCTCGAACCGAGCGTGTGACCCCACCAATGGATTCCTCGTTCGGAGAGCAATCCATTGGTGGGGTCACACGTTCGGTTCGAGCCTCATTTAGCGACTCTGGAGCTCAAAACGCGTTTCGAGTTTTGTCCGCCTAATGCGAAGCGTCCCTCCCCCTGCTTGCAGGCCATCAGCACGGGCGCCAAGCTGGGCATCGACGAGTGCCAGCACCAGTTCCGGAACAGCCGCTGGAACTGCAGCACCTTCAGCAACTCCAGCAACGTGTTCGGCGGAGTGCTGTCCGTCCGTAAGTCGAGTGAAGCTCTCCAAGCTCCGTCTCCCTCGCTCTCACGGGGCGTCCCGCACGCTGTGACGTGGCTTGCTTTTGGCTTTTGCAGACAGCCGGGAGACGGCCTTCGTGTACGCCATCTCGGCGGCGGGCGTGGCCTACGCGGTGACGCGGGCGTGCTCTAGGGGCGAGCTCAACGAGTGCTCGTGCGACCCCAGGGCCCGCGTGCGCAAGACGAAGAAGAAGTGGAAGTGGGGGGGATGCTCCGAGGTGAGTGCAGCACCCAAATGAGGCTCTTGTGTCCATGGGGGCGGCCAGCATGGCCAGCAAAGCCTGTCGCTGAGGCAATAGCTGAGCTTTGCTGTCCAAGTTGCCTGGTCGGCAGGCTGGGGGCGGTTACTTGTGGCCGCCCTCTGGACTCTCGCTCTGCCCCGCAGGACATCCGCTTCGGGGAGAAGTTCAGCAAGGAGTTCGTGGACGCCAGGGAGCACGGCGACGCCCCGGAGGGCCTCATGAACCTGCACAACAACGAGGCGGGGAGGAGGGTAAGTGGCAACATGGAGCCAAGCATGCAGGGCCGCTTCCCGAGTCTCGCACTCATGGCGCACAGTGGATTTGCCAGAGGACCGGCGGAGACGGTCAAAATCCCAGACGCGTTTGAACTCCAGAGTTGCTCAATGGGACTCGAACCGGACGTGTGACCCCACCAATGGATTGCTCTCCGAACGAGGAATCCATTGGTGGGGTCACACGTTCGGTTCGAGTCCTGTTTAGCGACTCTGGAGCTCAAAACGCGTCTGGAGTTTTGGCGGGCTCTTGGTGTCCGCACAGTGTGCTTGACGCGTCCTCGTCTTTGCTGCATTGCAGTCGATCCGGTCGCGCATGGAGCGCATCTGCAAGTGCCACGGCATGTCCGGGTCGTGCTCCGTGCAGGTGTGCTGGCGCAAGCTGCCGCCGTTCCGCGTGCTGGGCGACGCGCTGGGGCAGGCCTACGAGGGCGCCACGCAGGTCAAGCTGGCGGAGAACAAGCGGCGGCGCCACGCGCGCGGCAAGAAGCTGCGGGCAGTGTCGCGCGAGATCAAGCCCCCCAACCGCACCGACCTGGTGTACCTGGAGGACAGTCCGGACTACTGCGAGCGCAACGACACGTGAGTAGCCTCACAGCGGATTTGCCCGATAGGGCCAGAAGACCGGCGCCAGCGGCCGAAACTCTAGACGCGTTTTGAGCTCCAGAGTCGCTAAGCGGGACTCGAACCGAACGTGTGACCCCACCAATGGATTCCTCGTTCGGAGAGCAATCCATTGGTGGGGTCACACGCTCGGTTCGAGAGCCATTTACCCTTGACGTCCCGCCTGTTCCAGCATGGGCATCCTCGGCACTCGCGGCAGGGTGTGCAACCGCACGTCGCCGGGGCTGGACGGCTGCCGACTGCTGTGCTGCGGCCGCGGCCACAACACGCGCATGAAGGAGGTGGAGGACAAGTGCCAGTGCCGCTTCGTGTGGTGCTGCAACGTCGAGTGCAAGACCTGCCGCGTGCGTCGCGATGAGCACACCTGCAAGTAGGGGGCAGTCTCTCTGTCCCGCCCCGCCCCGCCGGTTCAAAAGGATGTTCAACCTTTACCACTGCAACTCCCCCTTCCCCCCGCCTGAGTGTCCACCCGGTCCGCCCCTGGCCTCATCGACTCCCGGATGCTCTCGTTGCTCACCGACTTCCCTAGTTCTTTGCCTGAAGGAAGCGCGGCCCGTTTTTCCACCTTTCCATCCTCTGACCTTTAAATGGGGAAGTCCCATATGGGGAACATATGTTTCGATTTACTCATACTTTCTTCATCCCTTTGGTACATGTTAAGATTGACGGTAGATGTAAACAGGGCGTTTCTGCCCCCTCTGCTGTATACTAGCCTGGAAGGCGCTGGAAGGCCTGGAAGCGTCATGTGAGGAGGCTCCTTTGTGAGTCGTGGGTCGGGTCGGCAACGGAGCATCGGTACGGAAGTACGGAGTGGACGCGCTTCAAGAGACGAGCGAGACGCGACTAGCGCCCGAAGGCAGGCAACCCATCAGGCACCTGATGGGCCACTTCGGCCACTTCACGCCGGGGGCTTGCCCTCCCTAGAGTCCTATAGCGTACTATAGGACTCTAGCCCTCCCCCGGCCCATTTTGCAAGAGTGTAGGAGCGACTTGTAGGTAGTCTTCTAGTTTTTGGGTCTATCTCATTCTCTCAATTCTTTCAACCTTGGAAAAAAGTCATTAATTTGACTTAATCTTTGTTACTGTAATTGGTTCTTACTTATCGTTCAGGCATTCCCTCTAGCTATTCTTTTTATTGTCAATGATACGGTAGTAAGGACGCTGCCCTTAGCTCATGGCAGTAATGATTTGGTGTGCGGTAAAGAAACATACTTTTTGTAAATGTGGTTCTTTGTTCTCTCTGAGATTAACGTATTGATTAATTCTGTCTATTGAAGTCTGATATGATTGGCAATGATTTTATAGTAAGTTTTAGTGCACAAAGTGCTTACTACCTTCTTAAAAGTTGGCCTCAAGTACATTTTCCTTAGGCCAACATTTACTTTTCAAGTGGTTTTTGTCTTTGGTAGAAGTCATTGGTGTGTCTTTAAAAGAATTTTGTTGCAAGTTTTGAACCATTTTTGTTTTTTTACAACAAATCCAAAACGATTAAAATTTGATGTGATTATGAGTTTCTTGGTTTAGAATTCTCTTTGTTATATGTTATTATTTATTATTCTCTGCCCTCATTTTTACCAATTTTGTCATGTTTTATTTTGTAAATATGTTGTTATGTAATTTTACCTCTGTTTATGTGTTGTAGAGCAGTATTAATAGTTTATAATAAGTCATTTTTTTCCCAAAGCCAACCGTAATTATAGACTTCCATAGCATTTGAAAAATGAACTGGAAGTTTTTGACTGGTTGTTGCTTAAATTCCGAGTCAGTTCTTCAAAACAGGAAGTAATGTACACAAATACTTGTATGATTTTGCATTCGGTATTCATTTCTTGTCACATCAAGCAAATCAAGATTACGCCTAGTCCTAATAATGTAGAGTTACTTGTCAATTTTAGGGTGTGTGCCAAATCTGTAATTTCAGGAATGAATACCAGAAACCCAGTGTAAATACGAAGTTGTAGTGATACTTTTTACAGGGGTTCATTATCGTCTGTAATAATTTTTGTCATCCCATCTTTCCCAATCCCCTAGATCATGTATGTTCCAACTTGGTTCAACTTTTTGTAGGTGTTTGTCACTGCACATACCCCACTTTCTGAGTCTTGTAATCCTCAAGTCCACAAGATGAATAAACTGTTAATTTGGTTTTTACATTGCCCACTTACTTGCAACAGTTTAGTGAAATGTTATCAGTTTCAGGAAATCCCCAGTCTGGGTCTCAAAATCAACCACATGTAGATGGGGGAAGAAAAACTAAAACTCTTTCAATTTTGAAGTAAAATTTTATTGGCTTTGATACATTTTAATCTCCACAGCGTAAAGTAATTCTTGCACTCCTTCCACTGGAAATACACTTGGATGCAAGCTTGGCAGCTACAAAAATATACTTAGTACTTCTATATCCATAATATTTCATTCATAATAATTAACACAATTGATTCTGAAACATATAACATAGGGGAAAAGGCAATAAAGATAAGCACCAACATTAAACAAATTATCTGAGGCAAAAACTTAAAAAAAAATCTACCATTCTCATTTCAAATTTCAATACCATGTTAGTCCTCAATCTCAACAAATATTACATCTTCAATGTTTGGCAACGAGTTGAAACATTGGCAAAGGAGACACAAACTACTCTGTCAACTTTTCATCACAACTTACATTTACTGTGAAGTAAACACATAAAATCACACTTATCACATTTACACAAGAACTTCATCATTCCAGAAGTTCTTTGATTTTTTTCATACATACACAAACAGACTGCGATGGCTTATGGATGCAAGAAGACCCGCAGTGTAAAATATCGCATCAGCATAGACTAGTGTCATCCTTAAAACAAAACTACATTCACACCATTTTCTTTCTTTCATTTCCATCACAGAATTTTCTAGTAAAAAAGGAAAGGAGGTAAAACCAAATAAGGAGTCCAGATTTGTGAATGGTACCTACACCAGATATGATATAGCTTTACAAGTGACATGACTGTAACTTTAATTAGAAAAGGGAAAATTAATAAACCTTACCAAGATGAAATGTGAACAAAACTTCAAATTTTACCAAAGTATCAGCCAAGGGGCAGGAATAGTTTTATGTGGCTGTATATAAATGGAAAACAAACAGATAGTACGGGACTTAAGGGTTAATTTAAACTTATAACATGGTAACCACTTCAAATAATTATCAGCAACAAAGCAGTGATGAAAAAGAAACTTATTTTGTGATGCAAGACATGTGCCATCAACTTTTAAAACCAATTTGTTAACCAGAAGTAAGAAAAATATATGTAAGGTTACAAAATTAATCTATAAAAGAATTGCAACAGAAACTTAAGAACAAACAAAAGGAACTCAAGCATAAAAAGACCTGACAGCTCACTAGGTGCAAAAGTCTGTTTGCAATAATTTCATTTCTCTCCAAAATTTCTTATGCGTTTTTAAAACCATATATGTCTTGTGATGTAACAAAAACAAGCACAATTTGTTAAAATACAAAAGTTTGGTTATGATAGTAAATGTACTACATGAGTGCCTGTGAACAATAAACCCTTATGTTAATCTAAATACCAACTGCTCATTCAATGCCCTTCAACTAATGACAAAGGCAAGCAGCTAGCCTATACCGAGCCAAGTGCTCTGGCAGTAATTTACATCAATGTAAAGGAAAAATCAGGAAAGTTTGAATCTCTTAATGTGAAGAAGGAAATGAAACATCAGTACTATGTGCTTTGGTAAAAGTCACCATTCAGTAATCGAGCAGGGAAGAAACTAATTGGATAGTGCTGATAATACAGCCAGTATTTGGTTAAATGATGTTGGAAATAATAAAGACCGAATTACAAGAAAGAAAACTCAAGTAGGGAAAAAGCTACAGTTTTTGCAAGCAATTATAAAAATTTGTGAAAAACCAAAATTTTAATGAGACAGCTGTGAGATGCTCATGAGAGTCTACAGAGCCCTTTGAGTTAATGCTAATAGTAACAGGAAGAATGATATTCCATCACTTATAACTATTCATTCACTTCACATATTTGTTAACTACACAATCTCTATCATTTCAAAATTAACAGCCGAGCCACTTATCAAGAGCTGTGTGTCTGAAAAAACTACCACAGTTAAGAGGACACTAGGTATGACACTACAGTGACCATTCATATAATCATGTCACACAATACCAATATCACAAGTTTGAATGCAGCATAAATTAAAAGCATGCTAAGCATTTGGAATTTTAAGTACAGTTTTCTGTTGAGAACTACAGAACAATTAGTCTGTACTATTGGCCTGTATGTTTTTTCTTTGTCAGTAAATTTAAACTATGTTCCGAGGCTTCACTACAATGTGACAGGATACCATATTACTCTCTTTGTTGGATGAAATTATTGATGTTACCATGCTCATAATGAGGATAGGTAATATTTCTACTTGATGACAGTTTGCAATGAGATCCAACATACACAAGTCTATTCCAAAAACCAGCCCAAGGACAATGCAATGATACAGATCTGACTTCACAAGAATCCGTCAGAGAAAAGCACTTACCAACACGGCCTTGTCTTTTGATTTTAGTTCATAAAATAAGAACAGTGTTATTGTCATGTGACAATTACCATACTTTCTGAAGTTGAAACACAAATTTAAGTATGCAACAGAGAAACAGCATTAAGCCATCTGTGAGCATACAGTGTTTAAAATATAAGACAGAAAATATGAGGGCTGTCAGTCACAAAGAAAGTCCATTCTCCATGCTTCTGAATGAAGTCACTTTCAGAATAGCATCAAAAAGAGATTTTCAATCTGTCTCCTTACATACAAAAGAGAACTAAAACCTTGAGGTTCAAGCGGTAAAATTACAAACATGGTCAGACTAAGAAGGTCACACTAATTTTTAAATAATGCGCCGCAAACTGGCACACTGCCTCCATCAAATAAAAACTTTGAGTGGCATCTGTTTTTTTTTTTCAACATTTCTGGTTAAGTAGTTCATTAGGAATTAAGGTTGAATCAGATTTTTAAAACAAGGGTCAACAAGATAAAATGCAAAGTAAAGGCAAGAAAGATAAAATGTACGGACAATTTTCATGTCGAAGTGTTGGAGAAATTAAAAATCTAATAGCACGTGATGTGGTCATAAAATTGGAAAGCAATGTGACTTAAATCAGGGGACTAAACTATACCTTGAGATAAACAAATATTTAAACCATAAATTATCCTTATCTTGATTCTATCCTTAAACCTCACACTACCGGAAATTAAAGATACAGCCATTCTATAGAACAGGCTGCCTGAATACAATGCCTTTCATAAACAGAAAGCCATACTAAATATCTGGCAACCATACCCCATCTTAAAGCATGTCATAATCAAGATAAGTATGACTTAAAGGAAAGGCTACATTCACCAATGAAATTATAGTGTAGATATGGGTGCACATTTTAGCTCAGACTATAATCGTTCCGGCAAGCAGCTCAGGAAACATGATGCATTAACACAGGGATCTTTAAGTCAAGGAACCATAAAAATAAAAAACTAAAACATCACAGATTGCAAAAAGATGAAGCTTGCAGGGGCATAGTTCTTCACAAATTTGAATGCCATCTGAAAAATGAACCTGCGCTTCATAAGAAAATCAGTGTTCACTTGTTCAGAGCAATCATCTTAATTAGGGCATTAAACAGCCTGCCAGAGTCCAAGGACAAAAACAACTGAAACAGCGTTGAAATAATTTCAGACTCTCCAATTTGCAGATTCAAGAAACAAAAAATTAATTAAACATTGTCAACAACTACTAAAATTTGACCACAGCAGTACAAAGTCAGCGTGCCTTTCACTCTAAACAGGGTACTGCACAAAGAAAACAAAGCCTGGTGAAAGTAAAGCCAAGCATACAGCACACAGGTTCACGTTGCTTATGGGGATGAAACAGGATATGTTCGCAGAAGGGCTTATCAAAACCTGCAACATCGCCAGAGGCAATTGGTAACTTGTTCAGCAAATCCGATTTAACTACAATTGGTCTCGTAGCTGGTGAGCAGAGCTGCATCGACAGGCTCCATACAGGACGGACAGGTGAAGCTGCGCATTAACCAGTCATCAATGCACTTTTCATGGTAGATGTGCATACAGGGCAGATAGCGCACAGGGTCTCCCACCATGAACTCAATCATGCAGATGACACATTCCCTGTTCTTTTTGCAGCCGTCGTAGGCCCCAGAGGGCAGGTGCTGGATGAGGCCTGCCCGTTTGGCTATCTTGACCTGCTCCTCCTCCGTCAGGAAACTCACGGGACGGCATAGGTTGGGCGAAGGGTAGTACACTGGCATCGAGGGGACATTCACATTTTCTTGGTACACTGGCGGGGGGCCCATGCCGATGCCGATGGGGCCCATATGATCGCTGGATGTTGACTCTCGCCCCGCGTCGCCTCTGTCACTACCTCTCAGTAGCGAAATATCGTCTGTGGTGGAGCCCTTTAGGCAGTTGCCCATCTTGTACGATGCACCAACGCAGAGCTACGCCGAGCTACGCCAAGATACGCCAAGCGCGAGTCAAGCAAGGGGCATTACTCTTCCAGTGGAATAGTCATTTAAGCCCCCAGCCTGTTGTTGAACGCAGTATCAAGCTTGAAGGCCACGAACCAGAACCACGACAAAGCACAAAGCAGTCCACCAGCCTGGGTCCACCAGCCTGGGCAATGGACCTTTCCTTCACACTTGTTCTCGACACCACGTCCGAAACGAACACCAACAATCTGGGGGCCCTGGCGCTGCGACTGGCTTTGTTTATTTCCCGAACCACGCTCTCCCATTGGACGAGAGCCTCCGGAAATGTGTTAAAATCGGGTTCAAAGTCAAAGCCAGCTCGTGGGGAGGGGGGAGAACACAACGCGTTTCGCACGCAACACTTCTGCTACTACTGCCTTTGCGCAACACAAGGAAAGGCCCCCTTCTTTGCGCGACGTTCTTCTGTCTTGCGCCTCAGCATTTACAATATGAGGAAAACCTCAAATCTCTGGCTCTAAAGCAAACCCTTGTGAAACCAGCGGCGACCTCCGAATTTCTTTGCGAGAAAAACTGCGGTCGCAAACTGGTATGTCAGTCACAGTCACGAAAGCGGTTTCCGGGTGCGAAGCAGTTCGAAGCTGAGACTCCAGAAGGGTGCCTCTCCTGGCTCGATCCGGGACGGGACGTTCGGCACGCAACACTGGACATCTCCCCTCCATTTCCAGTTTTTCTCAGTCTTTTCAGTTGAACTTCTTTCTGCCCGCTCTAGTAGAAACTGTTTTTATTTCATCGTTTTCCATGGACCGGGTTTAGAAGGTAACGTCTTGTAGATTCAAGTGTCGTCTGCTAAGTTCCCACCGAGTGTCAACAACAACATAGCAGAACATGTTTGTATTTGACAGGACTTTCTAGCTACGCCTACACCATCTGTCCTTGTTGGAACAAGTTTTACTGTTTTCCTGCATATGCTCACAGTCGCGTAGGACGTCTCCCCATGATGACTCTTCTGTGATTGTACCCGAGTGAAAACGCGTTCCAGAACGTAACTCGTTCATTTGGCGAGTGAAAGTCATTTGCAGCAACTTTTACTATAGAAACTGACGGATGCAGTCTATTTGCATGTTCATTACAGACCCTTCTTACCTCTATCTTCGATCAATGACTCCAATCATTCATTTAGCCCACATTCTCAATTGAAGGTGGGACAGCAAAGTTTATTTTTAAAACTTGGGCCAGTCTTGGTTTGTGGGTCAAATCCCTGTACACTGTCTAAAAATTTTGTCCTTGCGTTTTCTGCAGAATAGAGAGGTTTGGCTAGAACATTTACATGAAATGATTATGCTGTCATTGTCAAACCTATGCCATTCAGTGGATCTTAATATTGTAATGTGTATAAATCATAAGTAGATGTATGAAAGATAGAGAGTGAAAGAAAGCTTTGTCCTAACATTATTAAAAATGTGCTTTGTGTTTCAGACACCATGTCCAACAATGAGAAGAAAGAGGAGGGTACCTCAATTCCAGAGGAATCCACCCAGTGTGGTGGGTCTCAGGCTACAGCAGAGATCGCTTCATCAATCGAGTCAGAGACAGTGTCGGATTCTGGCTCTGACAATGTCGCAGAAAAAGAAGTCAGTCTTAAAGGCTCTGAGGACAAAACTAAAATAACTCTGACTGATTTACCCACAGAGGTAGTATTCAAAAGTGAAATTTTGGCAAAAATATTTTACCTATTTAAAATCTTATCTATTCATTTCTGCTGTAAAGGTTTTTCTTCAAATTTGCTCATACTTGAGCGCACGACTTCTTATGCAAACTCTAAGACTTGTCAGCAAGAGACTGAATGAAATTTTGTCTGATGATTTTATTTGGAGATCTCGGATCTGCAAAAAATGGGGACAAGTTTATCCCCCTATTCCAGGTCAGGAAGCTGTTTGTTTTTATTCTTTTTAACTGGGGCCTTGGAAGCTTGCTGTTACCAAAGTGCAAACTGTCTTCGTGGTCATTTACACAGCATTTGCTGTATAAAATGGCGTACAATGTTAACACTTTGGTCAACAGCAAAATTATTATAAGAGTTTTTTAAATCTCAATTATCTCAATAATATTCATTTAACTTTTAGCGGACAGAGACTCTGTTAACTGGAAAGCTGCTTGCATAAACCTGGAAGAACAGCAGGAACGTTGGTCCAATATGCAAAGTGCAATGAAACATATATCTTGGAGAGATGTTCATGTAGCATCTATTGATGCAATTATGCTCATCAACGTATGTATTTTTTACATTCAAATTTTTGCAAAAAATTTGGTTTTTAATGACACTTTTTTAAACTTTTGTATGAATGTGGACTTTCTCTCCAGAGAGGAGAGCTCTGTGTTTCAGGTTCACGTGATCGAAACCTTGCTGTTTGGGATGTGAAAACATGTAATCCTAGACCCCTCACATACACTGAAGCTCACAAAGGGTGGATATGGGGTCTTGCTGCCAAGTCTGATTCATCATTTTATACTTGTTCTTGGGACTGCACAACAAAACTTTGGACTTTTGATGAAGGCAGGCTTTCAGCAAGTGACACTTTTAAGTAGGTTTCATTTACATAGAAATTGGATGACTTTGGCAATGCCATAATAATTTACTTATTTTTTTCCCAAATAGAAATGAACGTGCTGCTGCTGCTGCAATGCTGTGTGTGGCTTGTGGACCTAATCTTCTGGCTGTTGGCACATATGATAAACGAGTCATACTCTGGGATCCCAGATGTGAGTCAAAGCCAATTCACTCATATTCTGCTCACCGTCGTCCTGTTCTGAAGCTGTGTCTCTTAGAAGAATCTGGCACAACTGATTCAGTTGTGTCAATTAGTGAAGATAAAACTTTAGCTGTGTGGGATGTTCGTGCTGGAAAGATATTAAAAAATAATGTCAAGGTAGCATTTTATAACCAGTAGATTTAATATTTACCTCAATTTAGTTTAGGCAAATTAGGTATATGACTTTCTTTATTTTATCCTCGTGTCTTTCTAGATTGGTGCCAGTGACCCAGAGAGTACAGCCTTCCCCATGAGCATGTCACTCAACAGTAATATGCTTTATGTTGGTGATTCAAAAAATAAATTACACTTGATAGATCCTCGTAAGAGTTCCCCCACAAGATTTGATGTGATTGCTGTAAGTTATTCATTTTGGTTGAGGGTTTGGTGAATATTTAAATTTTCTTTTTCAACTAGATTTTTATTTCAGTCTTATGATGCTGGTCACAGAGATCAGTGCAAGATAACTGCTGTTCGACATGGGTTAGGCTGCATAATCACAGGATCCTCTGATGGAACGGTTAGAGTGTCCACACCTACTCACCATCCAGAGTTTATTACGAGTTTCACAACTATAGGCACAGAAGTGGCAGCTGTAAGTCTTTAAAGATGTTGACCTATCCTGACTAATTTTCTACCACTGCACTTCTACATGTGACTTTTATTTTCTTGCAGCTTGATTTTCAACATGGCATACTTGCAGTTGGTTGCACTAATTGTGCTGTTGAGCTCTGGGTTCCTGATCAGGAAGTTGATGCTTAAGGTAATACTTAGCATGAAAGAAATAATAATGAATTTTCATCATTCAAAGATTGCTTTGCTAAGTTGTTTATTGTGTTACAGATGCTGTAGTGCCCCTGAGACTACCAGCTAAATCATGTGATATAGTGCAGATCTATGCACATTCCTTAAAACTATACAAAAACTTTCCTCTTCTTTTGGATAAAAGTTGGTACAGAAGTTAGATTATTTTTCTACCTGTGTATCTGTCCTTACTTTTTTTGAGAGTGTAAGCTGTATTAAAATGTTTTCAGAGTCTTGTCAGGTACATTTGATTGAGGAAATGTATTTTAAATGATTTAAAATTCCCCCCTTAGCCAGTAGTCTTGTGTTTAACTTATGTTTAACATAATATTTACCAAAGTTATTTCCCCTTTGGATGAATGGGAAAAGAACAATGCTTTCAGTATTTTATGTCTTTGCATGCTTTCTTTCCTATTTTTTTTTTTGGGTTTGCAGAGTGACGTGTCTTTTTAGGTGTGCGACCTTTCTCACTAGTTTTTCATAGGAAATTGGTTTACTTTAATATCTTTAGGAAAGAGGTGTGGATTTTTGAGCAAGTGTTTCTAGTCAAAATTGTGAAAACAACAACTCTTTTGACATTTTTACCCTATTTTTTAGGCTTAAATTTAAATTTTGCTAGAGTGTTTGTATTTCTACTGTGACCATTATTAGAAAGCCATCTGAAGGGCACATCATCAACTCAGTCAAGTTCCATGCTGCTAGCAGTATCAACACTAATACTCCTAATTTTGTTTCCAATTTGTTGCAGAGTACTTAGAGAGCTTAACTTTACTAGTAGATGATTTGACTGACAAACAACTACACAGATTGATAAGTGTTTATGATGTCAAATTTACTTCCAAATAATCAGTGGTTCATCTTTAATGTATTCTTATGATTGTTGGTGTACTGTCAATTAATCAATTTGGGTTCCTTTGTGGAATCAATCAACATAGATCGAACCATAGTAAAAGCTGTTGTGCTCATTATGAGACCACTTAAGTAAGTAATGTAAGATCATAACTTATTTTTTATAGAAAATCATTCACATTGTTTATTATGTTAACTCACATATAATTTATTTACAATAAAAAAAGTAGTAGTGTTTTGGTGAATATGAATACAAGTCAAATGCACTTTTCCTTAGGAGACTACTTTCTGCTTTCTTTCATGGTACAAAACACTTGCAACATAACAAAGGTTAATCCGATTAGAGTGATTATATGACACAATTACAACTAGAAAAGCTTACAGGACTTAACACAATGATACACACATTGACAAAAACTACGGAACCACACTACTATACCAGGATTTAGCAAATTATTTTCATATTAAATAAAATTAAATAAAACAAAATTGGGAAAACATTCTATAACACATAACAAAATGACAAACAAGCTCGACAACAACTCATTTCATGGCATTAATGGCATACCTAATTTATTTTTGAATGACTTCTTGGCTTTGCACATATGATTTTACAATGACTTCTTTCCACCGGACTAAAGCAGGTAAAAACCTTACTTTGAATAGTATGATAATTCACTGCATCATTTATAAAATGACAGCTTCACAAATATGCCTTGTCTATAAGTTCATCCCAATTCACATGAACAGAAAGGACTTGTTGCAACCATACCTCATAGTGCTGTTTAAACTCTTCAGTGAGCTCCACTTGCTGCCCAAGAACACTCTGGATACTTGTATCAACAGTTGATTTGAGTTCAGAATCAGGCCCATTGCCATACCTTCTATTGTTAAACCGATCTACATTGCCTCTAAGAGCACATTCTTCTGCTTGGAAATCCCATGGACGAGCATCGAGGTCGTTACCAAAAGCCCAATCATCGTTCAGACGGTGGCGAACCTTGGAATAAATAGCACTCATTGTTTTCATGTTTGATTTTCTCCATTGACGACCAAGGTATTTGGTCTGCATCTTAAGAAGTTTCAGAACATACAGTTGCATCATTGCGTGTCTGACTTTTAAAGTCCGTTTTAATATTGGAGCAGATTTGAATACCACAAGCATCATTATTCGAGAGTGTTTCCACTTGGTAAGTTTGTTCAATATACGAAGGAGATTGACACATGAAAATACATTTCTCCAAGAGTATAGTTGGCTGTCCCCAATTTCTAGACTCTCTACTGTCAGTTCAGGCTGTTCGCCAATGACACAGGCAGGGAAATCCAGAATTGGAATCACATTTTTTGCCCGAACATATGCTGTAATGTTCTGATTAAAAAACTTGAGAACAAGAGGAATGCAATTGGCAAACACAAGATGCTGTGACATGAACTCAAATTGATAAACATGGTTAATTTTAAAGTGCTTTAGCAATAGCAGCAGTATTCCAGAAACTGCTTTCACAATTATTTCTTTGTGACGGTTAACATCTGTGCCAAGCTTCATTGACTGAACAACAGTCATTGGCATTTCTTCAGGGAGTACATCAGCCATGATGTTAATAGTCTCAGTCTTGGCTTTGGAAGTTGGAGCAGCAGCTAAAAGAATTTTTAACAAAGAAATCACATATTGTGGCAGATTTGGTAACATGGCCTGATAGAGGATTTCTGCTGGAGTGAGGGGCACCTCAGGTTCCTGAACAGAGAATGGGCTCTTGGCCATGACTTCTTCCTTTTGTATTTGGAGTTCAGCTAAAGAGGTATACATGTGTTGCTTCAGAACAGAAACACCCTCATGGATTGGTTCAGGTAGTCCAATCAGAGTATCTCTATCCCCCGGCAGGGGAAAGCCGACAAACTTCATTCGAGTATTGTCCAGAAAGTTGTCCAAATCTTTGGCACGAACTTTAGGCATCCATGGCAAGCCTTTTGCTTTGGGTGGTTCAGGCGTTTCTGGCCTGGGGCTTGGCGTCTGTGGAGCATCAGCGTTCTCCGCAAACATCCCATTATTGGAGTCTTCTTCACGGTCTTCATTTTCAGACTGTTCAGATGACTCAAAGTCAAGGGCAAAAGTGACATCTAATGACCCCTGCTTTATGAGGCTTCGTCTAAACCGACGACTGCTTTGCTGGTTGTCTTGAGCCACTAAGAGATCTACTGCACTGAAAGGCGGTGATGAGGCACGCATCATTTGGGCAATTTCAATTGTGTCTTCCTCGATGATGGGCAGCTCTGCATCCTTGCGGTATTGAGCCTTCAGCTGCTTCAGGGCACTCATGCCACCCAAGGTTAGCAAGATTACTTTCCACAACAACAGGAGTACCTTTTTCATTGGAAAATGAGGAGCAGAGCCACTGCAGAACCTCGTTACCATGGAAAGGAGTTGCACACTGAGCACATCTTCTCCAGTTGCATTAGCAAGATCAGACCGAAAATGTTCAGCTTGCTTTTTGTAATTTTCGTCGCCATCATTCAAAGACAAACGCATGACCTCAACAATAATATACAGAACACTTAAAATTATCCTTAGGTCAGTTGAATCAGCAAGACTGACAGCAAGCTTACTTTGAGCACTTATTGAAGCAACACTGTTTTCAATGTTGATGTTGAGGAGATCAACAAATGCAAAGAAGACACCACATTCATTCAGAAGCATCACATTGTAACGTGTAGCCTGCTGCTGCTCTTCGTCAGATTGCTGCTCTGCCCAGCAACCTTGCGCTAAGTATAAGAAGCATCTTGCCGCTCTCATACGGCTTTCACTTTTGGAAACCTCAAGCAGATCCAGCCACTTTAGGATCAAAGACTTCTGTTGGTCCTGAGACAACTTCTGCCAAGAGGGACTAAGATGAGCATCTTCCATCAAATCTTCAAATGCCTTCACATTCAACTGAAACTCTGGTTGTTCTGTGTAGCTGTACAGCTCTGAAATTTCATTCAGAGGTGAATCACTATCATCATAAATGAAGTCCAAGTCCCGATTCTCCAAACTCTCTGCATCACGATTCTCGTAATCTCTCTCTCTATCCATCTTGATTCTTTTTGACGCAATTTCAACCAAATTAACTTTTTTCATACGAGGAATTCTGTATTTTGTTCTGTTTTCTCCAGAGTATTCTCCAGATTCAGCGTTGTCATTTCCATTAGCATCCATCTTCTGCATCCATCATCCAGCTCTAGGCAGAGATGGCAGCCAGTCAGGCTCGTGCGGCCTAGAAACAGAGAACAAGTGAATTAAAAACCAGCACCTTATCTGCAACAAATGGGGAAAAAAAAATAGCTTAATGGACATTGTTGTCATATTGTTAATTATCGCCAATATCGAGGTTTACTTTAAGACATCTGTCAAAACCGGCCTGTATGAATGGATGTAAGGATTGGATATCTGAAAACGCTCTTGCAAAACCTAAACATGGATCCCACCAACTAATTTTCTCAAAAATATGAAAATTCCAAGGCTTAACTGTCTGAGGACAACTGTAAACAAAACACAAAGCATCAAAAAGAAAGTCCCCATTGAACATTGGAGGTCTCTAGTGCACTAAAGAAACCCACACTCTCTACTATAATGAATGGTGATTCTTCAAGGAAATGCCTTTCCTAGATATTAAATGAATATATTAGAAACCTTTTATCATTGGTAAACTCAGATCTCTTTCTTATTGATGGACACCTATTTTATGTTAAACAACTTTGAAGAAGTTACCATGAGCAAACTTTTGTTTGTTTGAGGGAGATCAATACACCACTTAGTTTCAGAATATTCTGTAAACTGGCCACGTATTTTCATTCATTTTTGAAACGAGAAATAAATGAAATGACATAAGTCAAACTAACCTGCATAGCTGGAATTTTATTGTCAGTTGACATCTTCTTAAATAGTTACATTAACACGGTAACAAGATGAAATGCACTTGAAATTGTGGGTGCTGCCTGCTACTTTCCACCCAACCGGGCAATGTATTCAATGAAACCATGAAATGATTGACAGCATTAAAGATCCTGACCAATCTTGACTTTTTGACTGACGTCACAGTGCAGGCCACAGCCTCTGCCCTGTGCCGAAAGCAAACGTGACGTCATGACGGGCCCCATGTCTGCCAATCAGCTTGTCACTCTGGCCACACTCTGGAACACAATGGACGACAGGGTTTGCGAGAAGAGTGTCTTCCAAAATAAACCTGACGAAAAAATCATGCGGTCTTCCTTGTACTTACAATAATGTTCTCTGATCGATCCAGTGACATCTAGTTTTCCCACACGTAAAACTGTTCAATGAAAGTTGCTATCGGATGCTGAGGTTGGTAGAGGCCTGTCAGCTGATTTGCGGCCTTTGCGGCAGTGAGGCAGCGGCAGGAAGGAGCGGTTACGATGTTGGTTTCGCGCCATACCCGTTAGCACTAGCCCCGAGACGCACGGTTGTGGACGGATTCGCGCGAAGACAAGACAGCGACAGCGAAGACTGTGAACGACTCAAAGTGCCATCGCGAAGGACGGCAGCATGGCCGAGCGATTTGGAATGGCCAAGCCCGTAGACGGCGGCAACCACCTTGACGGAGACGTAGGTGAGTGAGTGCTCGCTGTGTGGCCCACAGTGGGCCAGAAGACCGGTGGAGGCGGCGCGTTTTGAGCTTCAGACTCGCTAAATGGGACTCGAACCGAACGTGTGACCCCACCAATGGATTGCTCTCCGAACGAGAAATCCATCGGTGGGGTCACACGTTCGTTTCGAGGCCTGTTTAGTGACTCTGGAGCTGAAAACGCGTCCAGAGTTTTGTCCACCTCCACCGGTCTTCTGGCCCACTACGTGGCCCACTGTGTGGCCCCCCGGGCCTTCGGCCCATCAAACTCTCCGAGGCAAGCTTCCATGGCGAGATGTGTTTCTGTTTCCTCAGTTGTGCCTGCATCGGACAGTGAAGACGAGTTCCCTCCAGCCTCAGTCTGCTTCGGAGGCCTGGAACCTGGGATTAAAATTTATTTCGACTCGCAAGGTAAGAAAAGCATCATAGTTGACGGTTGGAGTTCCGCAGTGGCGTGTGCATGAGTGTGTGTGTGTGTGCACCCCCGCCGATCCACCGATGATTATTTCTCCCCGCTTGCTGTGCGCAGGCAATGCTGTTCCCTGCAAGGCCGCGCGTGCCACTGCGGCGAGCACTGCGGCCACTGCACTGGTGGCCCGCGACTTGCTCGCTAACTCCCGGCTGCAGCCCCTACCTGATGCCCGACCGCCGCGGAAGTCCGCGCCAGGGGGCCCAGCGCCAACGGGCCGCTCCCCGGAGGCTAGGCCGGAGGGGCCTGAGCCTTGGCCCGAGCCGCGGTCACCCCCGGTGTCGCCGCCGGTGTCACCGCCGGTGTCCTCGTCTGGGAGTTCCAGCGGTTCCAGTCGTTGCGGCGGATGGCGGCGGTTCACTCTGCGCTCCAGCCCCGGGGCCTGGCACTCTCCGACCAAAAGCCCTCGCCGCGGCAGCAGCAGCGCTCCAGTCCGGGATTTTCTGAGGCGCTCCCCGCTGCGCTCCCCGCCCCTGCTCTGCAGCCCCTGCAGCCCGTCGGACGACGCGGACCACGCCGACCTGGCCACCGCCGCGAACCTGCGCGCCGCGGCCGACGCCCTGCGCGCCCTGTCCAGCGGCCCCAGCGGCCGGCTGTCCCTGCTCGACTTGGAGGTCTCGGCCAGCTTGCCCAGCCCGGGGCCCAGCCCGGGTGAGACTTCGCCGGCTCTCTCCGCCCCCTCCGCCGGCCGGCGCCTCGTCGACGTGGCGCTGGTGGCGCGCCGCACCTCCACGGACCACGACTACCCCATGCTGGACGTCGGCGACATCGTGGAGGTGGAGGCCGACGAGCCCGACGCCGACGAGGTCATGACCCCGGACAGCCTGGAGGGCCTGCACGGCCTGCACGGCCTGGCAGCACGGAAGACTGCCTGCTCCCCCCATCGCGGCTGCATTCAGGATGTGTCACTGCTTGTGCTCTCGCACGTGCGGAATGCACGGGCCATGGATCCACGATACACCAGCTCGGCCCCTGACAGTGGCGGTGCTCATGTCGATGGCGGCACATGCCCCGCCCCCGCCAAGGACGACGCCAGCCCCGAGGACGTCACCACCCTTGCCCATGGTTGTGCTTCCCTCGTCGATGACGTCACCACCCTTGCCCATGGTGGTGCCTCCCTCGTCGATGACGTCACCACCGCACTGTGCTCCTGTGGGCTTCCCTGTTCGTCAACAAGACATCCTGCACCCCAAAATGACCGCGGCCAACCCCTCCCCTCGCCCATGCCAGGATGGCTCGGACTTGGAGACCGCCGGGCTGTCCCTCGTCGGGAGCCAGAAGCCTGCGCCGCCAGTGTGTGTTCATCCTGTCGGCCTGGAAGGGGGCCTGCAAGGGGGCCTGGAAGGGGGCCTGCATGGCGACGCGCAGGAGGACTGTGGTGTTGCAGCCACGGACATGCAGCCAGTGGAGGAGGGGGTTGGGGGTGAAGATAGCTCCATGCAGCCCCAAGAGGCACTTTGGGACATGGACGGTCTCGGGAGTCTCAGTCTCGAAGAAGAGGTGGAGGGCCCCGCCAGCTCGGCTAGTTTGCACAGCCCTGACTTGTTTGGTAATGAAGAAAACATCGGCAGCTTGCCTAGCTCCTCCGGCAGCTGCCCCATACCAGCCAGCCAGTTTGTTTTCATGGCAAAGTCTCAGAGGGAAGTGCCTAGCAATGCTGACACAGACAGCTCTCTCGGAGAAATCAGTGATATTGAGAGCGTTGGTGGTGACATGGAAGACAGTCATGGTGGGCCTAGTCCAGCACGCCAATACTTTGTGCATTCAGACTTTGAAAATCAGGAAACTTTAGCTTCGCTAGCAGAAATTCAGGAGCATGAGAAAAATGCCTTTGGTTTAGTTGGTGCACAGTGCTTAGATTTCAATGTGCCATTGGATGCTTTTCAAAAGACTCCTTCAAAGCTAGTTTCTAGAAATTGGATTGTGGACATTGAGGCAGAAACTTTGCAGCAATTCCCTTATTACAAAAATGATTTTGAAGAAAACTCTCCTCATGGCCAACAACAAGATGAAGATGACGGTCATTCAGAAGAACAGCCCATCACTGAAAATGGTTTGCTGAGCGAAGAAAGTTGCAATATGCCCTCAGTGGATGAAGCTCAAATTTCTTATGGCTCGTCCTCAACTTCTACTTCTCCCAACAGGGATCTGGATGCCCTGCAACTAACTCAAAGTGCTCCACTAAAACGCAGAGCATCTTTCAAACGATCGGAGCAACTGAATGTGAAGCGAAGTAGGAGGAACTGGGAACAGTGGTATGAACAATTCAAGACTATTGTAACAACTGGAGAGCAGAAAAAAGTTGCACAGGCACAACTACTTTCAAAATTCTCCAATGAGACAGATGCAGAAGATAATGCTCAGGTTGATACTGATTTAGAAATGTTGAGTCCTGTGTTGTTTCAACACGAGATAAGTTGCAAGAGTGGATTGGAAGGTGTTTCCATTCCCCATTGTTCCACACCACTGAGCTGCAACCGAGGAGAGAGACCCTTTACCAATGCGTCACAAAGTCCTTTTGCTTTAACAGACAAAGATCAGTTAGTGCCTGAAGAGAACTGCCCCCCTAATGCAGAACCATGTAATTTTTACTTTTCTTTCTTCCTTTAAAAAAAAAAAACAAACTGTTGAATAGTTCTATTTTTTGTTAAATTATGTGTCTAACAAGTTAAAGTTTTCTCATTTTAGGCTGCAGCACAATGGCTTATCCATGTCAGAGGAGACTTTTTAACTGGGAAGAGCCATCATGGAAACCTTCTGCTTCAGAGGCAAATTCATCTGACCTAGAAAATGAACCGTAAGAAAACTATAACTTAAATCAACTATCTTGAATTTTTTTCGCCCCGAGTGGTAAGAAACTCATGTGTTGTGTGTTTTGCACAGGTCAGAAGAGCCACAACATCAATATATTGCTCAGAGATCTGTGCTCAGATTGGGTCTCTCCAAACGACATCGGCCTAAACCTTTACATCCGCAGAAGCCTAAATGGTGGGTGCTGCAACAATGCACTCTTCTGTAATTTTTATTTGAGAACTAATTTAATCACATCATAAAGGTAAATCTTAAGCACCTTAATTACTTAGAATTTTTTAACTTTCAGAGTCATGCTCAGATAAAATTCCTGCTCCAGGTGGCGAAAACAATCTGTGGCTGAAAAGAAATACACAATAGACATTAAGCGACGAAAATATTGTAACCGGTAATCAGCACCTCATAGTGATATTTATTTCAGTGAGAACCCTCTAACACTCACTTCTTGCTACAGAGCACCTTAGAAGGTTTTTCCAGTGGTGGGGGTGATCCATAGCTGCCATAATCTGAGCCAATCCATGTCTTTCTCTGAAAGCGGCCTATTGGCTGCCACTTAGAAGTTGGTATTGCTGCTGAACCTCTGTAACATATCAATTCAGCTGTCCAAGGGGTCTGCCTATTTGCAGATTGTCTGTTTTTATTCATAAGTTATTGAATATTTATATTTACACATTTGTTTTTACCTTTTAATGAATTTTTAAAGGATGTGTCATGTAAGAATGAATTTCATCTAATGTTTTCTTTGTTTCTTATTATTTTATATTTTTGCCAAGCAAAATTGTTACTTTTAGCCCAAAACAAATAAAAGTAATTTTCTGAGTACAATCAAGGTTTCTCCCTTTCACTGCTTGGTCACTCAAACGGGATAAACACAATTCAAGTAAGATAGAACTGTATTTACTACACAATAAGCAATCAGTCAATCAAGAATACGGCAGTGAAGTAAGTGAGCAAACAGCCAGCTCTTCTATTTAGTGCTCTGTTACAAAAAGAGACATCTCTAGGTGACATTTGCACACTACTCTAGACTATGCAGCACTTAATCTAAAATTGCTTTGAGAAGTACATAAACATTTCTAGTGCAACTAACTCCTAATCAGCATGTGTTGTGTAAAGAGAAAGGACTAAACATGCAAATGTGAGGGGTAGAAAAAAATTGGCTTTAGGATAACTTCATTTTTATTCCAAATCATGCGAGCATTTCTAACCACATTAAATGGTCAGATCAGAACTTGATTGAGCAACAAATATAAGTTACAAAAAAAAATTCTATAAAAAAATAAAATATAATGTCTGTTTACTTGCATCAACTTATGACAGTACAATTGAGTACAGAAAAATAAGGGCATGTGGAAAAAGATGAGTGTGTCTACCAAATACAACATAATTAAGTGGGTTTCTCTTGTTCTCTTGACTTCAAAATTGATATTAAGGGAATATAGTATTGAGATAAATTGCCCAAAAGACAGTAGATAACGTAAGACAGTACACGGCTTAACATTTCAGAATAAATCTTCACAAACAAATATTGGAATCTCATTAATTTATCATAAAGGAATCATACAAAAAGCAAATAAAAAGCTAAAAGAAGTGACATAAACATAAGGACAGGAAACTAGAAAAGCTAGTACTTAGGAACCTGAGTGGGATTAGTAATTGCTCCCAGTTTCATGTAATTGTACCTGTTTGTGGAACTTTGGTTTGGGGCTGCAACCTGGCTCATGGTAGGCATACTTGATGTGCTTGAATCACTTTTGGCCAGGGTCCCATCACCTCGTAACTCAGCAATGCACTTCCAACTATTCATGTAGTTTGCTGGAAGGGAAAGCATAAGTTAAAATCAAGTATGCAACTGCATATCCCAGAAAAGTTCGATATATTTTAATCGCCACTCACCCTTCCACAATCTAACACACCCATCATCACCAGATGAGGCTAGGATTGTGCCTAGGATATTCCAAGAAACACGCCACACTGTTCCTGAGAGATTGTCTTCAGGTTGAGCAGTTAATTGGACATTAAACCGTTGCGATGATCCTTCCCTAAAAGTAAATGTAAGCATGAGTGTTCTCTTAAATGATGAGGCAACAAACAAATTAAATTACGTAAACTTACGGGGGAGACCCAAGGGTAACAATACGAACGTCCTTGGTGGCAATGGCCAAAAGATGAAAACTTCTACCAAGATTTGGTGCAAATGCAATGTCATGCACTGGTTCAGTGACTCCAATAGATTGAAGTGATTCTGTTTTCGTCCACCGTCTGGAATTTTCACTGTATTCAAAGATGGCAACTTTGCTACCATTGAGTGGATTGGGATCATCACTGCCAACAGCTATCATAGGAGGATGTAACCTGCAATGCCGTATTGACGAGAAATTAATTACTGAAACAAACCCTGGTGTTCCTTCATTTCCAACAGACAGGCTAACCTGGAAAATGAATGACTCCATGTCAAGCAACTACATGGTAATTTGCATTGTACTTCAAATTGAAGAGTCCATTGGCTAAGATTCATAACATCGGGAGCTTCATAAATGCGAATTACACCATCAGTAGAACACGTTGCAAGTTGAAGACCCAGCGATTTCGGACCAAACTTGACATCAGTTACTGAAGTCCTTGAATCTACTAAATTTGTCCTTCGAATCCAAGTTTTCAAGCCTCTTTCACCTTGAGGGGGGGTTTCTCCAACTGAAATAGAAAACGTTGATGTGAAATTCATGATACATTAATACTGTTGTCATGTTTTAATTACAAATCTCAAAGATGACTAACTTATTTCCTCCCAAATAGCAGCAGTCCGATCAAACGAACATGTTGCGAGTACTTGTCCGAATTCTGGATGAGCCCAGGTAACTTTCCATACAGAGCCACTGTGAGCCTTCCAGCTGGCAGACAAAATCCAGTTCTTTTGTTCATCCTGATCCCAAACCTGAAAGCAAAGAACCAGAATAAAAATGAAGAGGAACAAACTTAAGAGCAAAAGAACACAGAAGTTAAAATAAAAATATAAATTCATTATTGCATGGAACAAGCAATTATTAAATCTGATTTGGCCATTTTACTGGGTATTCATAGACAAAATTCGACATAATAGTTACATGCATTATTACTAAAAATGTAAATAGTACCTTCACAGACTGATCACTTGAGCATGTTGCCATTCGTTGGCCATAATAATCGTAGGCAACATCATGGATAAGATCTTTGTGTTCAGCATTGATGCTGTGAGCTTCGAACATCCTGTTTTCGGAGGTTTAAATAGTTTCTTTTCCTTGTAGACGCACTACAGTAAAAAGTAAATAAATAACATAAACTTCGATTCCGCCGAACCAAAACCAACCTCTCTTTCGCTCGACCGACCGGTCGACAGTCGACAATAGAAGTAACAACATCAAAAACCAAATGATTGACCAAACAGGGTGGTTACATTGCGTTATAATGTTCTTATTTTACGATCATTGAATAAATTCAATTGAGAAATCAAAGTTTTAACTACAATTCTTTTCTGAAAAAATAGGAATGTAAACCAAGTATCAACTTTACACAATGAATGACGCGCTGCATGTTGGCAACAAAAACAGACGTCGCTACAGCAGAGGGCGGGAAATCCGCATCCGTGTGACACCGAACGAAAATCGGTCGTTTAAATTTGGGGCGCGATTTTGGGAAACGAGTGGGAAGTAAACTCATACAATGGTACTTCGAAGGTGGTTATTTCAGTAACTGCTCGTGATGGAGCTGTCGTCGTCTGGGCCGAGTGCGAAGTGCCACCAGGTGCCACCGCCCTAAACGGCAAACGGGCGAAGGCGCACAGTGGGCCAGAAGGCCGGTAGTGGCGGACAAAACTGTAGACGCGTTTTGAGCTCCAGAGTCGCTAAATGGGACTCGAACCGAGCGTGTGACCTCATCAATGGATTGCTCTCCGAACGAGGAATCCATTGGTGGGGTCACACGTTCGGTTTGAGTCCCGTTTAGCGACTCTGGAGCTCAAAACGCGTCTAGTGTTTTGGCCGCCTCCACCGGTCTTCTGGCCCACTGGTGAGGCGGTGCGACACATCGCGTGGCGCCATGCCATCCGTGCGGAGCGGAGGCCAGCAAGTCAAGCACGTCTCGATTCAACGACTTCTCGCATCCCTCGGGGCACTCGAGGCGCTCGTCGCTCCGTCTCTCTCGCACTCGTGGGGCGGTCCGTAGGGGTGCGAGAGAGACAGAGCGACGAAGCAGTGTTCGGAATCAGACGGCAGGTCAGCAGTGATTCCGGCCCGTTCCGGCCAGGCCAGGGAAGGTGACTCGCCCAGTGGGTCAGTTCCATAGATAGTGGCTACAGTCGGACTTGGATGTCGGGCAGGGTGGATCGTGATGGCCCGTCGTGCCTGCCACGCGCGCACGCGCACACTCACACGCACGCACGCAGCTGCTGCACAGCAAGTTACTCAAGTTGGACCGGTGAGTCAGTGGGCTGATTCCGCGGACAGCGTTCCGCCGCTGCCTCTCTCCCTCCCGCCCCTGCGGGACGCCCTGTGAGTGAGTGCGAGAGAGACAGAGCGACGCAAGCTTTGTTCGGCCGGCAGACTTGAATGCAGCGCGGGGTGCGGCGGGGTGCCGGTGGCGCGCCTGGTGAGGTGAGGGGGGAGTCAAGGGAAGTTCACACCGCGCAGCGCAGCAAACGCAGCAACGCAGCAACGCGCAGCAAGGTCTCCACGACGCGATTTCAAGGGTCGCGTTTCGGAAAGCCCCGTCCGCAGACTCTGTGTGTCTGTCCGTCTGTCTGCCCGTCTGTCTGCCCGTCCGTCCGACCGTCCAGGCGAGCATGCTCCCGCAGGACCGGCAGAGCTTGCAGGTCCATTAGGATGGGAAGCCAGCGAGACGCAGTGCATTCGTTAGCATGTTTTTAAAATCAAATTTGGCCGCGACCTTCATTGTGTGGTCCGCACTGGGCAAGGCACTGGGCCCGGCCTGGCGTGGCGGCCTGGCCGCCTGGCGGTCGGCGTGGAGCAAGGCGCGCAGGCACATCGTTTCACTCCGCGGTAGGCTACTCCACTCGAAGCCCGAATCGCTACGGTTCCTCTGGGTTCCTGAGCGCCGCGTTCTTCCGGTCCGCGTTCGCCTTCCCGGACATCCTGCCAGTGGTCTCTCTCTCGCACACACGTCACGTGGAGGTGCGAAAGAGACAGAGCGAGAATGGGCTCGGGCTAGCGCCTGCGAAATGGCATACGATCAATTGTGGTCTAGCCCTTAATGGTAATGGTAATGGCTAGGTAGGCACCATTAGCACTGCTGTGCACGCCGCTCGGGCGGGCTGCCTATCTCGAGTTCGCAGGCGCTTCGGCAGCACACTGAGAGACGAACTCGCTCTCGGTCGTTTGAGAGTCTTCTCTCCTTTTGCAGTGCCCTGGCAGTGCCCTGGCAGTGCCCTGGCAGTGCCCTGGCAGTGCCCGCGTGGGGCAGTCGGGCAAGCCCACCTGCCCGGGCCGCGTCCGAAGCAGTCCGAACCGGCGGCGAAAATTTGAAGCGCCGTCTCTGTCAGCGGCACAGGAGGCTGGCCTGCGCGCTGCTCGGCCAGCTCGGCGCGCTCGGCCGTTTCCGGAAACAGCCGAGTGCGTGCCGACGGGCCTTTCGGCCTCCCGCCTTGCGCGTCCGCCCCGCCCGGCCCGCCCGCCGATGGATACACTGCGATCCGCGATGAACCGAACAACCGGACCATGACCGGACGACCGGACCGGATCAGGAGCAGATGAAACAATCTCGCAATTGCAGCGTGCCGCCACTGCTAAGCCTGCCAAGCCCCACACTGCAAATCCGAGCACACTGCCCCGACAAGGGCGAAAAAAATCCCTGATGCGTTTTGAGCTCCAAGGAGTTCATCCTGACTCGGACCGAACGTGTGACCCCACCAATGGGTTCCTCGTTCGCAGAGCGAACCATTGGTGGGGTCACACCTTCGATTCGAGTCCTGTTTAGCGACTCTGGAGCTCAAAACGCGTCCAGGATTTTGACCGCCCGCCGGTTTTCTGGCCCACTGTTCGCCCGCGGATAAAGGGAGTGGTCTTGCAATGTTTCCAGCACGCTTTCCACGCCGCTGGCCTGGAAGGGAAAATCCCGATGGAAACTCGATGGGAATCCCGGCGCGAAACGCGTCACTTTCCTGGGAACAAACAAACCAGTCGCCATAAAGGTACCTACACCTACATGGCGGCGCGATGCGCGGCGCGCGATCGCCAGTGGAAGACTTTAGGATGGCTCGTTTCCAGCTCCAGCCTCTCCGAGCCTCTCCCACCGCCGGTTAGAATGTTTACCCGGCGTCGCTTCGGCGCTTGGCGCTTCGGCTCGTGCTCCACTCACGGGCAGCTCGGCTCAAAATAGCCCGGCCGGTAGGCAAAGCAAGGCGAAGCCGAGCGCCCCGGTGCGCCGGGTGGCCTACGTTCCCACCGCAGGCGCTCCGCCCGCCGGCCGCGCGCCGCCGCCGCTGTGTCGCACAGTGGACGCGCCCAAAATCCCGAACGCGTTCAGCTCCAGAGTCGCTGAATGGGACTGGAACCGAACGTGTGACCCCACCAATGGATTGCTCTCCGGACGAGGAGTCCATTGGTGGGGTCACACGTGCGGTTCGAGTCCTGCTCAGCGACTCTGGAGATCAAAACGCGTCTGGAGTCTGGACCGCCTCCACCGGTCTTCTGGCCCACTGCGATGCTGCGCTATGCTGCGTGACGGCGAGCGGCCATACGGCACGGCTCGTTGGCCGGGACCATGAACACAAAACGCCCGTGGAATTCCCTTCCCTTCGTTGCCGCCCGTTTCGGCCGTTTCGGCCGTTTTCACGCGCACACAGTGGCAGTCGATAATGTTTCAATCGTAATGGGCCGAATGTTCCCAGAGCCCTGGCACGGCAAGGCTGGCAGTCTGGCACCGTCTCACAGTGGGCCAGAAGACCGGCGGAGGCGGCCGAAACTCTAGACGCGTTTTGAGCTCCAGAGTCGCTGACCAGGACTCGAACCGTGCGTGTGACCCCACCAATGGATTGCTTGTTCGGAGAGCAATCCATTGGTGGCGTCACACGTTAGAGAGAATTAAAGCGTGCAACATGGCGAGACAAAGTGAAACGAATGAAAAATAAAAAACACATCATCTCGACATTACGCAGTTCTCACCGCCGCCTCCGCGGTGTTGTTTATGGCGTAGCGCGCGGAGCAGGTTCAGGGTCTTGCGCCTGTACTTATGCACACACACACACACACCACATTTAAGAGGCACCTTAAAACAATACAAAGAAGGTGGTGTTCGCGAACGCGCCGATCGAGGGTCCTCCCTCGGGTCCGCGGAGGAGGGGACCGGAGAGGACCGGAGGGGACGCCACAGGGAAGTCCCGCGGCATCGTGGTTGTTGTGGACGCGGAGGAGGCGAACCTCGTTACCGACAGTGCGGACACGGCGGCCACGCGCGGCAGCGTTCAATTTCCCACTTTTAAATCGGGCGCCTCGCTTAGCTGGTTCGGGGCCCGGCTTGCGCGGCTTGCGGTCGCCGTGGTCGCAGAATCCTCCACACCACACACTCGTCGCTCCGCCTCTCTCGCACTCGCGGGGCGCCCCGCAGGGCTGCGAGAGGGAGAGAGAGACGGAGCGGCCTGCAGTGGCTGCGACTCGCCCGCGAGTCCGCGACGTCGGCGATGACGCAGGAGCACTCGCAGGCACTGCCGCGGTATGAGTCTAATCGTTTTTTCTCGGTGATATTTTTCCGCTGCGGGGTCGCTGCCACCGCCGCCTCTACACGCGAAAACAGGAGTACAGGTGGACAGGCGGCTCGTGTTGTTCAGAACGTCGGCAACTTGCTTCGCGCCGGCTTGGTGGCGGTAGGGTAGCACAGTGGGCCAGAAGACCGGTGGAGGCGGTCAAAATCCCGGACGCGTTTTGAGCTCCAGAGTCGCTAAATGGGACTCGAACCGAGCGTGTGACCCCATCAACGGATTGCTCTCCGAACGAGGAATCCATTGGTAGGGTCACACGTTCGGTTCGAGTCCTGATTAGCGACTCTGGGGCTCTAAACGCGTCCAGAGTTTTGGCCGCCTCCACCGGTCTTCTGGCTCACTGTGGGGCGGCGCGGCGACGCAGGACCGCGGCCAGGACGCTGCTCAAGACGAAGACGCTCCGCGGGCTCCGCGGCGACCTTCGTGCCGGCGTGCCCGGCGTGCCGCCGGCCAGGCGAAGGGAGGGGGGCGCACACGCCGGGCAGGCCGGGCACGCCGGCACGGCTGGAGGCTGCGTGACGTCACGCGCGCTCCGTATAAAACTGGCGGTGCTCGCTCACATCGGCACTCGTTCCCTTGTTCTCGTCCCGCAGCAGTGCGCAGCAGCCTCTTATCAATCGCCATGATGCTCCGAGGCCTCGTCGCCGTGCTCCTGGTGGCCGCCGTGGCCGAGGCCGCCCTGACGCGCCGCGTGCGTCGGGACGACGACGACGACGAGAAGTACACCTCGCGCTTCGACAACGTGGACCTCGACGAGGTGCTCAACAGCGACCGCCTCCTCTCCAACTACTTCAGGTGCATCATGGACGAAGGCCCCTGCACGCCGGACGCCCGGGAACTCAAGCGTAAGTACACCGGTTTCTCCCTTCAGGACCCAGTGCAGTGGCGGGCAGAGCCCTTCGGGACAAGAGGGGGAATCTCGTCGACCCTCCTCGGCGCGACAACAGGCGACCCAACAATCCGAAAAGGGGCACTCTTTCTCGAAGATGCAGCAGTAGACCGAGACATTTGCCGCGCTTTTGGCGTCGGCTGTACCACCGCCACTCTAGATCTCGACCCGCGCGCGCGCGTCGCCTTTTGGTGCCGAATGTACCTGGCAGGCGCCTCGGATGACACGAATTTGCGGCCCATCATTAAGGTTACGTGTGCTGGCACCGTCAGGACCGTCGGGCCGCAGTTGTGCAACCGCGCCCGATCAAAGTCAGTGCCAGGCTGCCAGGTCCAAGTTCGGCGGCCCTGCAGCTCGGGAACGGGAACGGGTTCAGCGGCCCCGCTCCGAAGGGTCCCTTCGTCGCGCTGTCTCTCTCCAACTCGTGGGGCGTGTCTGCAGGGCCTGCAGGGCGTGAGAGAGAGAGACAGAGCGACGAAAGGATACGACTCTTCGGAGGGGACACCGGGGGACTCCCGTATTGCGTCACGGGCCGAAAAGAGGCTGCTCCAGGCTCCAGGTCCTGCAGGGTCGTCGCAGTGCCGCGGACGCGGAGTGCACCAGCGGGGACCGGGGACCGCCAGCGACCGGCTGCTGGCTAGACACAAACGTGATCTTGACATTGAGACTCTCCAGCGCGCGCGGGCAGACACACGCACACACTTGCCGCGCCAAGACAACTCTAATGCTATGCACTTGGCGCCTCGGCGCGACGCTCCCACGAAGGCACCAACTCACATTGTCTCCTTCGCTGCGTCCGCAGCTCGGGAATTTTTTTTCCGGTTCCGTCCCTCCTCCTTGCCGCCTCGCCCTGCCGGAACAAACTGCACGAAAAGAACCTTGGCTTTTTCCCTGTTGTTTGAATGCGCAGAGTTCATCCTTCTTATGAATCGCAGTCAAGTGGGATTATGCACCATTCATTGCGTTGCCAGCAAACAGTCGAGTCCTGCATAATAGCTTCCGATGAATGGAGACTGCAGGACAGGGACACTGTAAAAAAATGTTTTGTCGACACGATAGTTTTAGTAGTCCCAATGAACGAAATTTTGTCCACTGTTTTGAGAGCGAGCCTAACGACTTTCTTTTCTTTGTGCTGCAGGCGTGATCCCCGAGGCGCTGAGCGAGAAGTGCGCCAAGTGCTCGGAGAGGCACCGCGCCGGCGCCGAGAAGGTGCTCACCTTCCTCATCAAGAACAAGAAGGAGCAGTGGACCCGCCTGGAGAAGAAGTACGACCCCACCGGCCAGTTCCGCAAGCTGTACGAGGAGGAGGCCAAGCAGCACGGCATCAAGCTGTAAGCGGCTGACGACCACGACAGAGGAGGCGCCCTCGCAGTTGGCTTTCCAGTGTTGGCACCAATTTGGCGCGAAAAACCGCTTCGAGTCGTCGAACGCCTTCCTTCCACCGCCCCACCCACACGTTCACCATCGCGCATCCCATCCCGGTTCGAGGCACAACGTTTTGTTTGGCATTCCCCCTGGCGGGAAACGTGATCGACGGGCCATTCAATTAAGCAGTGTGCGCAAAAAGCCGAAAAAAAAGTCCATTTGTCACGTCGGGCTGTGAGTTTTTTGGGAAAAGACTGAGGCAAGTCGAAGAGGATTTATGATTGTTGACCACTTTGCACTCACCCCATTTTAGGATCCATGGTTACCATTACGCACCAAAATTGTTGGTGGTACAGAACTGATTGAAACTTGTATACTAGAAGCAATTGTGATAGTAAAAATAAACTCCGCTTCCAAACCACCTGGTTGTGTTCTTCATGTTCCTGGGCCCTTGGGAGAGTAGGGGTGCCCATTGGAAAGACCCGTTACGCTATCTTAGCCGGGCCGATCCGGACCCATGCTCCAGGCTCGCGGTCCGGAGATACCAAAGTGTCCGACAATCCAGGAATTTATTGCAAGCAGATCCTTAATTTTTCACCAAGACTGAGTACATTTACTCAAAGTGTTACATTACAAATATATGTATTTCAGAAATAAAAACAATCTCTTTCAATTTTGGCCTTAGCAATTAAAAACAACAGTCATTAACCAACTCAGACTAAATAGTTGGGAAAAAGTCCAAGACTTTGTAGAAATACATAGTATTACAAGAAACAATTCACACAATGCAAAATTGACATTATCAGGAAACAACAAATTAAAAAGGGGGAGAAACAAATATATTTCCTTATTATAATTAAATGGTGAAGGAAATGGATTGTACTTAGATATCTATCACATGTTTATTTGAGTTACTTCCTACCCTTCCCATTATTTGGTTAAATTTATTGGGATCCATGCGAAGAACAAGGACTTTACGTTTGGGGCTAACAATGTCTTCAGGCTTCCTGCTTGGTGCAGTAGCTTGTTTTTTAACAAGGTATTTCTCTACAATTGTAGAAACACTATTTTCTACATTAGGAGGCACATTATTGGGATTTGTGACATTGGATGACTTCTGAGAACCAAATTCTAGAAGTGCAGTTAGGAGGTCAGATTCTGACTGGCTCTGGCACACATCATACTGCGATATGAACTGATTTACAGCTGAGAGATACTTTTGAGGTTCACTCAGGAGTCTTGAGCTCAGGTCACTAAACACATTATTAAGGTTTAGTCTTGCCATTTCAACATCCTCACATTGGTGGCCCTCTTTACTCGTCAAATCATTAAGCCCTTGGTCTGTCATCTCCACATCTACATTAGATACAGTGGCTTCAGAATTTAAAATTTCACCACTGGTGACAAATTCACCTACACATTCTCCATGGTCTAACATATCAGTATTATCTATGTAATCATCATTGCTAGCTTCACCATGACTGTCAAGTAACGCTGAGTTGTCCATAACAGCATCTACTTGGCCATCTGATAAAACAGCATGACTTTCAGAATCATTTACAATAGCAACACTATTTCCCATTTCATCTTCTCTGACACCTCCACTCTTTGACATAAAATCATATTCATATAAACTATTGATACTTCTTTGTATTTCCTCACATTCACGTTTTTCATTCAGTCCGGAAGCTGTGTACGGAGTGCTAACAACATTTTCGGAGCTACTGTTGACATTCTTTAAGGCAGGCATTGTCTGAAGCTGCCCTGAATTTCTAGACATAATTGAAGTTTTCTTCTTGTAATATGATCGTTTACTTGATTTTTTTCTACCATCTTTCACTTTCCTTCCAACCGTTTCATAATAAAGTCTGTAGCACCATGGTAAAGGAGGGCATTTTGCACCATCTTGGATCACTTCCGAATACTTCTCACCATATTCCCTCTTGAGGTCTTGTAAGTGAAGACGTCGAGCAGCAGATGGTGTAATTCTTGCCCTAAACATATTAGAAAACTTTTCCCTCAGCTCGGGTAACGGGCGCCGGTGACGGAGGGCTTCAGCAGTGAGCGGGTGGCAGTGGTTGTGATATATTCCAATCACACAGGGGAATTGCCCTAGCAGCAAGTCAGTACTCCTGGGTCAGTAAAAGAAAACATTAAAATTCAAAGTAGAATAAAAAGTATGAAAAAATACTGCTAAAAACATTAAATTGTACTTACGATTTCATTTCTTTGTTTTTGATGGTAATTGATAACCTGGCTTCACAGCCAAGGTTCCGCCCACTTGCTCTCTTGAGAACTTTATCTTTCTTACAAGAATTTTTGTGGCATTTGAAGCATTTCTGAAAAATTAAACAGGGATTAATGATTGTAGCAGAAAAAAAGTTTTTAAGTATCTTTATTGGAGATGATACAACTAATATTTTTGTTGATCAATCTCACCTTGAAAATAATACGGAAAGAGTTTTCCTTGAATGTTTTGGTGACTCGGAAGTTGGTCCCCGAAATGGCCTCAAAGTCTTGCACCCACTGCAAGGCATCTTCTTTTGAAATGAAAGTCGTACGTACTTCAGCCTTAAACTTTTCAGGATCTTGCAGTTCTTCAAAAGAACTAATGTGATATTGCCATGATTTTGGTAAAATGTCCTGAAACGAGTACAGAAAACTTTACACCATGACATTGCATTGCTACAAAATTGGAAAAAAAAACAGCGGGTACTTACATCAAGCTTCTGCGGACATGGTAGACTTTTAGGGGGTTCCTCTTTCTTCTTCTTAGGTTGCAAATTTTCAGGTTTACATCCACTGTACAGCACAATGGGCTCTTTACTTTTCCATAAAGGTCTGGGTTCCCGCCACCACGGTTTGGGCTTGGCATTGACGCTCTGCTCCGGCTCTTTGGTTGCAGGTTCTGAAGATTCATTCAAAGCAGGACTGTTGGCATCTTGGACTATAGGTGGTTCTTTCTCATTAAATTTCTTAACTTTTCGCTGTTTAGCATTGCTGGAATATATAGGTTCAGGCGATGGCAGACGTTTTCCAGTGTGCTTATTCAGTGGTGGAGCACTAACAGGTATAATTGGATTAGCTGGCTTTGGCTTTATCATGAAAACTTTATCGCTCAACCTTTCAGCAATTCTCATGCCCTCAAGAAATACAGGTTCTTGTTGCGTCGTTGAGACGGAAGGATCATGATGAACAGCTTGCCACTGCACTGGTTGAGCACTGACAGGTGTAACTGGGTTAGTTGCAGACAAAATTGCACCTGCAGGTGGTTTCAGCAAAACGACACCTCGGTTTGGATTATCAAGTAGCTTTACAGCAAGTTCCTTGTGAATGCTGTTGGGAAGTTGAGGTGTCGTCAAGGTAGCTTGCACAGGTTTAACAGACTGACAATACGCTGCTGGTGGAGCAGCGACAGAACTGACAGGTGGAGCTGGCTGTGGTGTAGACACTACTTTCCCCACAGTTGGCTTCAACAGAACCATGCCAGGGGGCAGTCTGAATATTCTGGCAGAGGAGACATTTGAAGGAACCTCTTTCAGCTGACTGAGGACATTTGCTGGTATGGCGGACAGAGGCAAGTGGATAGTCTGCTGTTGCTGCTGTTGTCCAGTCGCTAGAGCCGCAAGCGGCACGGTTTTCGCGACCGGCTCCATGCTTTCCTTCTCATCCGTCAGGAAACTGGAAAGAAAACCAAAACCCTCCTCTGCGACAAATTGCCTCAAGTTTTCTTGTTGTTGTTGCAGATAAATGTCAACAAACAGGAGAGAACTCTCGGGCCTGAAAACCGCGCCCGATCGGTGAAACCTTCTAGAAGGCTACGGTATGGCTTCTCAGATCTTTTTTTCGTGGTTTTATAGCTTTATTTGTGGCAAAGAAATAACTAAATTAAGTTAAGAGTAATTTTAAGAAAATGAGACCAAGTTCTGAAATATATGCGATTCAAAATTGTGTGGAGTCAGTCGGTCCTACTCTCATGGTTGATCATACTCCGTGTTGAAATGCCCTCCATTCTTCTGTTTACTCAGAGCTAGCAGAAGACAAGTCCGCAGTAGACATTGACGGCTCCGCGGCTTTCTGCTGTCAATGTGCGCTTCTTGAAGCGACGAATTCCGAATGATCTCAAAAGAACTGGTTAAGTTACCGATTCTGTCGGTCAGGCACTTTTCCTGAGTCACCTGATCGGGTTTCTCAGCAGAATGGAAGAAGAACAGGTTAGTTTTGAAGAAAAGGAAGAAGGTGGTGTGGGCCCGTCTGCGGTCTTGCGACAACGGAAAATCATTTCAAGCGCCAAAGAAACCTTCGAAAATGGTAAGAATCGTTTACCCTTGCTCTATATTGGTTCCGCTGTATCTCTTTTTCCAATGTGGATGCAAACCAATGATTTAGATAATGTTGCTCACCTATTCTGGGCATGTGCGCATGTGTGCTATCCTCTTGAGAGGATCCTTCCGTTTTCTTGCTGTGCTTGCAGCATACTAATAATAAAAGATCTGAATTAGATGAGATGCACATTTATAGTCGAGCTTTGATTCACTGTTGGAATGATTGATGATTAATTTCGACACTAGAAGGTTAGGTCACCACATGGTTGCAGATGTCCATTATTGGTTGTAATATTTCTTATCTTACCAGCCTCTAGGATGCTTCGAAGGAAAATCCCACAAACTGGTCATTTGATGACTCCTCGAAGATTGTGGATACAAACAGTTCCCACTCAGGTACCCTAGTAAACAATAATTTATTTTAGAAATTTGGCTCCCTTATTCCTTGTTTATTTTTCTTTTTCTTTTAAAAGGAATGCGATGTGGTCCTTATGTTTCCACCGGGCACTGCTGATTCTACATTGATGTGGTTATTATCTCGCTTAAGAGCGGGCACTCTTGTTGCTCATGTCAGGCATCATTCATCATCGGACAGCTATGGATTTTATCTTACTGCTCCCTTTAATGTGTAAGCATTCTAAGACATGCAAATGTGTTGTTTACTTTAATAAGATTTATTTCTAATGTTTGTTGTTTTCATTAGATTGTTGAAAGCTGCTGAGGAGATTCATCTTCCAAAGCCCCTCAAAGCTGAATATGGAGGAGGGTTGAAGGAGATAGTTCAGGCTGATATCGGCAGCTTTGAAGGAACAGAATGTGAAGAAAACTTTTTTACCTCTCATGAAAGACAAACCCTTGTTCTCCACCTTCTCCATTCCCTTCGGGCTGGACCAGCTGAGGCAGCGGCTTCCGATATCTTTGGGAAATTACGCTTAATTGAAGGACAAGCTATTGGTATGTTTGAACAACGTACCCTTTTCCTAAACCCCTTTCCTGATTGCTATTTGATTTATTTAAAGGTCAAATTTAATTTTGTTTCTCATTTTATTTTAGTGCCAAAGTGCCTCTCAGCAGGAGTCATTTCTCAAGTTTTCCCTCTTCATGATCTTCCATCACTTCAGCAACTACAGCATTCTTGGGTTCGAGCATTCCTGAGTCTACAACCTCTAGGTAAGACATGGGTGTATTCTTTTACAAAAACGTCAATTCAAATTGAGCTGTAATACTGTTCCTAAAAAAAAGGTCCTAAACAATTTGCTTGATTGCAAAAATTTGCAGAAGTAAATAAACAAATTCTTTTACAAAAAATTATTCTTACATCTCAATATATTTAATTCAGAATTCCAGAAGAAAGTAAAAATAAAAACTGTTCTAAAAGAAAATTAATTTTCTTTCAGTAGTGTGTAAATATGCACAAAAGCTATGAACTTTGTTTCGTTTTTATTAGCAGATGGGGCATTTGGATTATCTTGTGTCATAATGAAAGAAAAATATGAGGTCAAGGTTTCTCAAATAATTCAAATAAGCAATTTCTAACCTGGGAATGCCTTTTTAAACATAAGTCTAGAAAGTGGAAATTGAAGAATACAAAGCATGATGAAGACTTGCTATTTAAAATGTCTCAATTGAAAGGTATTTTAATCTCTTGAAAAATGTGTATCTACTTTTGTATGTGTTTTCATTATCTCTTATCTTTAGTGGCATCTGATGTGTGTTTGTTTAGTGAATGTCTTTTGTGAGAATGTTGGTGTCTGAGGTGTCTTCACATGTGCCTAAAAAGTAGCTTTTTCATTTGTAGTCTTTTCTTTGTTTTCCCCTTATCTTCTTGATTTTTGGGACAATGGAATCATTTATTTAACACTGTATGTAGACATAGACAACATTCTGGCTGGGGTGGGGAATTCTTTCATCAAATTTTTTTCTTGATCTGAAAGTTGGTACAGTTTCATACTGAGAACTGTAATTAGCACTTAATTAGTGATACATTTCATGCTGAGAACAGTAATTAGAGAGAAGCTAATGTGTGATTGAGCTGCTGTGATAGTTTTCCTGTCCTGTCTGTTTTCCTCTTTTTCAGTGTGCTGAGTTGGTGGGCTCGTTTTTGTGCTGAATAGATGTTGTTTATGTTAGCACCAATATTAGATCTCAGTATTGCCCCCTTCTTCTTCCGTTTGAGTGATTCTTTTGCTCTATTCTTCCTCTATCTGTCCAGCTCCTCTCCCTTTTTACCTTTTTTTCTGTCTGATGTTCCTCTTTCTGTCTTGGTAGATGCCATCTCTGAATACTTTGGTGTGAAGATTGCCATGTACTTTGCATGGCTGGGGCACTACACTGCAGCGCTTCTTGTTCCTGCATTCGTTGGATTCATGTTCTGGGTAAGCATTATGTTTGCCAAGACATGTTTTGGAATCTGTCTCACATTCTTTGAAAACTGGATTTAATCTCAAGACTTTGGATCAGTTCAGCTCATCAGTTTAGCTAAAGGGCTAGTCCCAAGGAGTATATTGTATCCTTAATTTTCTTTGTGCCTTGTGATTCTTATGCATGTTTAAAGCTAAGAATTTCCAGAGCCTGGGTGTTAGATGTAGCTGCATCTAGAAAGTGCTATGATGTTCATATTAAATAATAATTGACTTGCTGTTTTGCCATTCTAAATCCCATTTTTGTGAGAGGTGCACGGTTTTTTAAAATCTAGAATGGAAATATTTTGTTCATACTTTCTTTGAAATGGGCTATGTGGATTTGCCCCTGAAAGACTTGCAGTAACACTTTTCTTTTAACTTCGGCAGGTGGGATTCAGTGGACGTTCTCAACATGCTCAAGACGTTGGATATGTACTGTTTTCTTTCTTCAACGTTTTATGGGCTAGCATTTACTTGGAAGCCTGGAAGAGATATTCAGCAGAGTTGGCATATCGCTGGGGAACACTTGATCAGCGAGATGAACTTCTTGTGGAACCAAGACCCTTGTACACGGTAGTGCTCAAGACTCCCTGCTTTGAGACTCTACTGATGTTTGTTTAATTTTGCTCTTGTTAAACTTTACGTTTTGTTTGGTCCAGGGGGTGTTGGAGGTGAGTCCAGTGACAGGGAGACTGGAACCCTATTACCCTCCATGGAAAAGACATGTTTTTCGCTGGTTTGTAAGTGTACCCATCATCGGCTTGTGCCTTGCTATTGTATTCTTCGTCATGATTGTGATACTCCAACTCCAGGTGAATTCAAAAGTCTCCTCATCTTTACTTCATATAGCAATGTTAATTTTATCTTGCATGAACTTTCTACAAGCAATATCATTGTTTGCAGGATTGGTGGGATAAGCGCATCGAGTCTAATGGCTATCCCTTTTGCCTGAGCTACCTACCTAAAATTCTTCTCGCTGTTGTCATCAGTGTTCTTGATGAAGCTTACTATAAAGTTGCTTGCTGGCTAAATGACAAAGGTATTGTTCCCTCCATATATTTTATTTCAAACTATTGTATCTTAGCAAATAACAAAGAAATGGGACCTGTTTTAATTAACCTAGTACAAATTTGGGTCAAGTCGTGTGTTCACCTGTGTTCACCTCATTTACCATTGGTCTAAGTGCAAGCAGTCTGAAGCTGGTACAGTTTTGCTCCAAATTAATCAAGACAATAATTTGAAGCTTAGTTTCCTGTGTGTCTTATCATTATTTGAACATGGTTTAATCTTTAAAACTCATAGTGCTATTTAGTTTTTACAATTAGTTAAATCCAAAACATAAGATAAGATATTTGACAAGTTATGCATATTTTTTGCGAACAGAGAACTACAGACTTGACACGAAGTATGAAAATCATCTCATCGTGAAAGTGGCTTTGGTTTGTACTTTTTAACAATCTCGACATTTATGCTGCTACTGCTGTTGTAAATGTGTAGCAATGCACAGAGTGAGAGATGTATGGTGGACTTGCAGTACTTGCAGAACAAACACTCTGTACATTTTGATGTGTTTTAGGGGAGGAATGGCCTAATTGCACTGCATTCATAGATTGCCCCATTATTGCTACCTAAGTGTTTGTGGAATGATTCACTTGTTGTCTCTGTCATTGTTTCTCATTTATCATAAATGTGTAGACATTTAATTTTTTTTTTTTAGTTATTAATTTTTTGTTCATGATGATAAAATAATATGATATAAGCCAAATTTATCAGTTATAGCATGCAATATTACGTGTTGTTCCTGTGGAGCGCTTCTACATACTTAACAATTTGTTATAATTTCAGCAGAGAATGACGGAATGGATGCAGGCAGCTAATACAGTATCAGTTGGAAGTTAGTGTTCTGAGTGCATGAAAAGTAGTCTTGAAAGCATTGGAAACATTACCAGCTTTATTCCTACTCCCCTCTTTTTTTCTTGAGTTCTTTAAACGCATTTTGCATATTACCAGCTCGAAGTCCATCCTGGTCTGTAAAATTTGTATTCTGACCTCAAACTGTAGATAATAAATGTACTGTGTGTGTCTATCTGATTCATAGAAACACAGTTTACAAGGGCAAAACTTAGATTTGTGAAGATGCTCTCACCTATTATGCCCCTGCAAATCCTCTTAGGTGTACTATTTGTGCGGTTCACTATTGCATATTGTATGTTGATGTTGTGTAGATTGTGGTAGAATTCTCCTAAAAATGTGGCAAGGAATGCTATGTGTTTTGCTGTGGAAAGTTTTAGTGCACGTCTGAATGGCTGTTAACCTTGTTGCAGCACAGTGCTAGTGGTCTTGTATTCTGTGGCCATCTGGTCTCAAATGCTTAACTGATTCAAGCTTCATGAAAATGCTGAAAAATAAAAAAGGAACATACACTGATCAGGACAAGAAACAAGTTTTTCTTGGTTTCTAATGGTTTCTTCTTCTCATTCTGTTTTCAGTTTCAGTTTGTGAACTCCTTTCTTTCACTCTTCTACATTGCCTTCTACTTACAAGACCAGGAGAAGCTGAAGGAGGTCTGTATTAAAATGAAAACCCTTTTTTATCAGAGGGAAGAAATTTTTCAAAGTTAGTATCTTAACATTTTTGTGTCATCTCTTTTATTTCCAGCAATTGGCCGCATTATTAATAGCTCGCCAGGTGATTGGCAATTTAAAGGAATCAGCATTTCCGTACATTCTTGAGCAGCTGCGACTAGCGAAGCTGAGCTTCGACTTATTTGGGGCACTAAGTCCATCCGTTGAGAACAAAAACCCTCCAAGTGCTGAACCTGATTCACAAATTGGACAATCATCTGAAGTTGACTCGAACAATGGCGTTTATGAAGAAGGGCGATCAGGTCATGGCAATAGAAATGTCAGTCAGGCAGAACTTGAGAGTGCACTTTACAAGGTATAGTAAATTAGCATTTGATAAAACAGTTTCTCCACTGCAGTGCATGTCCATCCTATTATCTTGACATTTCTATTTCAGTACAATGGCACATTTGATGATCATTTGGAGCTCTTCATTCAACTTGGATACGTTGTTCTCTTTTCATCTGCTTTCCCAATGGCTGCTACCTGTGCTTTAATAAATAATCTCATAGAAATACGATCAGATGCTTTTAAACTGTGCTTCATTTTTCAAAGACCTTTTGGGCAACGTGTTCCAAACATAGGGACTTGGCAGGTTGGTCTTCAAAACTGTTAAAATCAACCTTATCTGTTTGCTTATTCTTCTTTGGTTGAAATTTATCATCTTGCTTTTCCGTGTGACCATAAAAAGAATGCCATGGATATGATGGGATTCATAGCTGTTCTGGTAAACTGTGCTTTGATTGGGCTCTCTGGACAAGTCCATCGAATGTTTCCAGAAATGTCAACAACTCAGACAATACTTCTCATTGTTGCTCTTGAGGTGAGTTTTTTCCATTCTTATTCCAATGTGCTCTGATTGGTGCTATGCGTTGCCAAGAGTATTCCTTTGCTGAGTTGTTTCTCAACATTTTTCATATTTTTTCAGCATGGCATGCTGGTCATGCGGTTCTTAATTACGTGTGCTATCCCTGATTTACCAAAATGGGTGGCCATAGAAATAGCTAAAGTGGAATTTGCTCGACGAGAAGCTTTAAGGAGACTATCATCTACGGTTCAAACGCCTGCCCCGGAATCATGCTCATCTCAGCCAAGCACTTACATTGGAAGGTTGGTTGCGCAATCAAATGGTTCAATGATTATTTAAATGACATTTTGCATTATGTTGTTCATGAGTAAGTTTCATTTTTTATGGAGTGGTTTAAGTTTGTGGCACAGGTTCATGGTCTCACCTGCAGCCCACGGTAGTCAGGAAGGGTCTGAAGATGAAGCCCCTCATAGTGCCAGTAGAACGAACACCCCTCCAGCCTCTCGGTCGTCCATCTCTGGCATTTCCTGCCGAGAGCGGGAGGACGGGCGGGACGGGCCGTCCTCCAGGGGAAGCTCGCCCATTTCCAGCGGCAAAATGTCTGCCACCCTCGCCTTGGAAGAGAGTATCCTGGAAGCGAGTCGGCGGCACACTCCAGACAAATCGTCCCCAGCAAGCACCAGTCGCATGTCTGTTTCTAGTGCCCGTCGGTCGCATGACTGGGCGGAGGGGCACCTGTCCAATGGTGGGTAGACAAGGAGAACAGTGGCATGGTGATGGGGAATTCCACCCCGGGTTGTCTATCGAGTCCCTGCAGTTTGGAGTGATTGAGTGATTGTGTCCGCAGTGTCGGGACGCAGCTCCCACGCCACGACGCCCCAGCAGACGCCGCTGCAGGAGATGCCTGTGCCCCAAGCCGCCCAAGGTCTCCAGGGTCTGCAAGGCCAAGGCCACGGCCAAGGCCACGGCCAAGGCCACGCGGCCCCGGCGCGCCGCCCCCGCGAGTGGCTGGGGGCGGAGGCGGAGGCAGCGGCCCTGCAGCACCACCTCACCATCGGGCCGCACGGCGGCGCGGACTGGGTGAGGCGCCTCGCCCTGGACGGCCCCGCACGGAAGTCCAGCGAACCCGAGGCCCGGCGCAGCACTGACTGTCTCGCGTCGGCCGGAAAGGTGGCTGCCCCCTGTTCCGTCCCTCCACCCCCATCAATTTGGTTTTATCTTGTGTTTTTATTTTGTTTCATCAACTTTTTCAGGAGTTGGCTGCATCTTCTGACTCTGATCTACTGAAATCGGCACCTCCATGGACTGCAGCGTACCTGAAACCGAAATTGCGCCTTTCTCCAGAAAAAGACCAGTCTTTCTCTGATAGCAGCCACACAGCTTCCAGCCAGGAAGTGGAAGAGACAGCTCAAGGTGTGTTAAGATGATGTCTGTGTTGTGAACTAAGGCAACAGTTCCTTGGGTGCAGTGTACTAATTTCATCTGTCACAGCTTCAACAGGAGCTGTACCCAAAACAGATTTAGATCCTGCCAAGAAACAACGAGTCAAACAAAGTCTGATGAAGAGAGCGAGAACAGTTGCAATGTTCTCTCTGAAGCTGAAAGAGAGACGAGCCCGGGAAGCTCAAGAGCAGTCAGTGAAGAAAGCGGAGCAGAAAGCTGAGCAAAAAGCAATGGAACAAATGCTGCACCCAAACCGACAGCCTGGTGGGGAACTTGGCTGTATTCCATTGGAAAAACTCATATCGGTTGAGGATGTTGCTGTTGATCTTCAACGGCGTAAGAACCATAACCATTAATGTGATATTCTTCATCCTTTGATTTTTATTATTGTATGGACACAATTTTCTGCACACGCTTTTTAAGACTGTAATTTAGCATAGACAAGCTTAATGTAACATTCTATATGAAAGAATTACTACAAGGTATGCACCAGGAATCAATTACCTTCTGCAAAATATTTGATGATGCATTACAATGTGCCTTATGATGTTTAGTTTTGTCCCAAATTTTAGGTGCTTCTCTATCTAAAACATAGGTTAAGGAAAGCTCCTTCATTAAATCCGTTCTTAAAGTGCATTCCATTGCACTCTGACTCATTGATGGTAAATGATATTCCTGCTTATGAATGGCGTTTGTTTGCCATGTTATTCACACTTCCCTTTTATGGCTTTTCATAACTCACGTGTGGTTGTAGTATCTTCAATTTTCAGTGAGGATCATAATCTGTCTGTGAAAGGAATCCATGAACTATCAATCCGTCCGGTTTCCTACCTTACACCCTTAAGAATCTTGTTCTGAAGAAGCTCCTCTTGTTATCATGTTTTACTCTTAATCTCTAGAGATTTATTGGCTTTCTGTTTGCCTAGAACTTTGATGTGGTTATTGGTGCTGTTTTCATGTGTTGCCATTGACTGGAAATTTTAGTTAGGATTATTTATGTTTTGTAGTTTCTATTTATATTATGTCTTTATGTCTTCATGAAGCAGAGGTCATACTTTTGTATTTCTTAAAGTGCGTAGATTGGAGGTGAAATGCCACTTCCAAAACTGTTTAATTAACAAAAAGTATGTAAAAAGAAAGTACAAAAAAAAAAGACAAGTGGTGGTAGTAATTTTCTGCTCACTATTAAACTGCTATTGGAATGTGATAGTTACATTTGACTGAGGCTTTTAGGAGTCGTACATCCTGCGGCTTTGGCCTTTGTGTGTTGCTTGTTCATTATATTTTTATTAATGTTATGGTCTATTGATTTCCCTCTCATTGATCTCTATTTTTACATCTGTTTTATTTCTCTCTCTCTCTCTCTCCTTTTTTTTCTTCTCAAATTGGCAGCTTTTATCTGCTTTGAATTGAGGCCTAACTAATACATGAAATACCTAGTCATTTGATTGACACATTTGCATTCATGAAAATGTCTTTGTTTATTTATAGCACCCAAAGCCTCATTTAGATTGTAGGTATTTATGTTTTGTATCAGAACATGAGACCAATGCAGTTGTCTTATTACTTGTATAAACTACTGTCAAAACTTCTCGCGTTGAGAAGTTTGTTGTCAATCATCTGAAAAAAGAAAATTGTTGTATGAATTGCAGAATCTAGTTTGAAATAGATCTAAAATGAGTGTAAAGTCCCAACAGGGGCTCATCCATTTTTTTGCTTTTGATGAATTATGTAACTGTGTTCCCTCTGTAAGAAGGCATTGACGCATCAGTTCTTTGAAAATGCCCCTCCCCCCGGGCTTTTTGTATGCTTTTCATTCAAGTGAAAGTGATTCTAACTTCCGGTACCCAAACTAATAACATGTCAAGTTTGTTATTTGCTTCTTTTCTCTTTATGATCCACAAAGGTTGCCATTTTATCCTGACCAAAATAATCATCAAAGCAAATAATGCCATTTCAAACAAGTGGAAATAATTCCTTTGTAGACTGAGATGCTGTTTTGAAGTACTTTTTATTTTGTGTTGTGTGTGGAAGGGAACAGTCTAGTCCAGGCAATAATACCTTGTCAACTCATCCCAACTGTATTCATATTCATGTGGGAGAATCTTGTAATTGTGCGTACATTAATTAGTGTTTTAAGGGAAGCCAACTATCTATGTTGTGAAGTGCGTCTTAGTCATTGTACCAGCCAAGAGTTGGCATTGTAATTCTTTTTAAAACTTGTTGTATGACCTGTCCATGTGTAATGTATATTCTAAACGCATTTATCCAGCCCATTGTAGTTAGCTCATTAAATTTTAAGATAGGTGCATTTATATTAATCTAATTAAGATATATAAGAGAGAGTCTGCAGTTTGACAAAGGGAAACAATGAAGGGGGGCTGATAGAGAAACAACTGCACATTTTACTGAAATAATTTGTTCCATGCACAAAAAAATTTGAGTGCCTCCATTTTGAGCCGAATAATATGGGTCTGAGAAAAATTTGCTTATCGACTTAATGCACACAGCTTTTATTCAATCTGTTGTGTCCTCATTAATATGTTTGTACTTGGGTTTGATATGTCTGCCTCTGTGCAATGTGCCGCTCATGTACTGTTTGCAGTCCTGTATGGCTTAGTACTGTTTAGCTTACAGTTTCTGAAGTTAATTCGAAATGTGCTTTTAGGGTCCAGTGACAAATTAAGTGGTCTTCCAGCTAACGTGTCAAGTGCTGGAGCACCCAAATTGGTTGTGCTGTTTAAATGATCTATTTAAAAAACAATGAACAATTGAGTTACTTATATGGTTTATGTAATATGCTGTTGCTGGACCACAGAAGTGCAAAAAAATTAGTATCAGCTTTAAATAAAGTTTACCCTGAAACTATGTTTAAGACTCACTTTATTCTCTACCTTTACCCCCTCCTAAACCTGCTCTACCCCATGCATGTCTCTCGAACGTGGTGTATTCCCGATCTGTCAAAAAGAAAAAAAAATACCTTCATTTTATTTTGATTCCTTATCAAACATTATTGAACGAAGAAGCTGGTTACCCACAGAAAAAAGAAGCATTTTTCAACTTAAATTTGTTTTTCTGAGATTGCTGGCATTTTCCGCCACTGTATTTCCTCGGAGCGGTCCTTTGGTGGGGGTGTTGGGTGTTGTGGCAAGCCTAAATCGCCGAGCCGAGCCGAAGGGGGAACCGAATCTGTTTCTGTTGTGCTGGCGTGCGGTGCGGGCGTTCGTGTTCGTTCAGTCGGCCAAGCACCACCACCACCACCATGGGCGACGTCGTGGAGGGCGTTAAAGCAATGAACATCAAGAGTGAAAAGGCATGAATGAATACTTATACAGTTCCCTTGACTCGTAGTCATGAATAAGATTGTGCGCTCGGATTTGGTGCGAACGTTTGGGTTTCTAGTCAAGCGGCACGCATCGATCAAAGCGGTATGGTACTGACACGTTGCAGCGGGTTTTGTTGTTAATTTGACGAGAAAGTGGACTAGTTTTGTTAGTGTCAATGAATGCAGGGCCATTCCACGCCTGTTTTTTTCGCGGATTTGTCCGGGGGTGTGTAGTGCCCCCCTGTCTGCTGTCTGCTAAGTCGTGTGTTGCATCATGGTGCATCTGTTTCGTTGAGGTTAACTCTCCGTCCGGTGCTGCCCTTGCCGCTCTAGTACGCTCTTATTTCGCACGGATTTGAATGAAAAATTTACCTCTGTAATTCTCTTTGTCTGCTCATGACATTTTTCCTTTTTTAAATTCTCATGGTTGTTTACTTTCGACTCTAACGGATGATTCAATCTCTCTGGCCAGGTTATCGTTTGGTGCTGAATGAGACATTTTTTCATTGATTGGGCCCTGAATCGATTGAGTGTGCCGGACTCGCGAACACCATTTGCTGACTGCCTGTTCCCAAAATACTGAAACAATGTCGGAGTTCGACCTTTTGAAAGAACTGGACAATTACTTGTCTCAGTTTAGTTACGTTGGTGGTTATCAACCTACACAAGAGGACCTCAAAGTCCTAAATTATTTGGGGCGGAAGGACCTGTCTGGAGAAATAGCGAAACATTTGCATTTGACTCGCTGGCTGCGCCACCTGTCTTCCTTTACCAAAGAGTCCCAAGCTGTGCTTCCCTCCACTGCGACAGCAGTGCACCCTCAAAGGAACAACCTGGAGATATTGGCCTTCATAGAGCGATGTGCCGTCAATGATACACACTGTCCTCTCGCCAATTCTAAGGCCAAGAAGGACGAGGTAAGCAGAATGGACAGGTGTGGCATGTACAGAAAGTAAGATTTTCTAAATAAAAGCATGAAAATTTTCATTTTTGGCAATTTTAACTCAACATTTGTAGGCAGTTCAAGAAGGCTGGCTTGCTGCTTTTCTATGAATTCACGTGCTGTGTATACTCAGAGTTTCATAATGTATTTTCTCAATTAGTTTTGAACCTTTAATTACATGTACTTCTACCAATCCTCATGATGTGCCTCAAAGTTAAATAACACTTTCCACAAATTTTTATAATCCTTAATGCTGTAATGCCCACCTGTTCACCTGCTACCTGCAAAGCTGTAGATTGTTTTTAGTAGCTATTTTACTGCATTTGTTTTGTTTGCCTGGATTGAGTGTTTTCCTGAAACATAATATTTTTTACTTGGTGATTATTGTGTAAATGCTGGATTGTTCATGTTTTTTTTGCCTGGATTGAGGGTGTTTCTTCAATGTAATATTTTCTAGCTAGTGATTAATGTGGGAAAACCTGATAGTTCATCATTTAAACTTAGGGCAACTCTCTATCTCAGTCCTAATAATGTTTTATTGTTCTGTCCTGTCATAGGTCAAGAAGAAGTACAAGAGGGAAGAGGCAGGACCCACTGTCTCTGAGCTCAAACCATGGCCTTCTTACATTCAGGTAAAAATCAGGATTATTGTTGTAGTATCTCAAATATTTTTATACCTTTGAGCTTATTAATATGTTTGTCTTTTAGGATCGTCTTGTTTTGTGGGACAGACTAAAAGCGGAGTATGACGCTCGCATTGCTGCCAAGACTCCAGAGAACATTACTGTCACGCTGCCTGATGGTAAAGCTATCCCTGCTGAGTCATGGCGTACAACCCCTTATGAAATTGCAAGAGGCATCAGGTAAGAATTTATATTGATGTAGTATAAATTTGTTAAAATTTGTTGCAATCCTGACTTTGTCTTTTCTTATCAGCCCGGGCCTTGCTGACAATTCTGTGATTTCCAAAGTGGATGGTGTGCTATGGGATTTGGATAGACCTCTTGAGAAAAGTTGTTCCCTTCAGCTGCTCAAGTTTGATGATGATGAAGGTAATACAATTTGAAATTGCTATTTCAGTGAGGGTTTTGTGCAAGAATTATGTTAAAGAATTTTTTCCTCATTCTGTTTTTTTGTTTTTAATTGCCCCTTTTCAGCTCAAGCAGTATTTTGGCATTCAACGGCCCATATTTTGGGAGAAGCTATGGAACGTGTTTATGGTGGATGCTTGTGCTATGGTCCCCCCATTGAAAGTGGCTACTACTATGACATGTTCCTGGCTGACAAACAGGTCTGTTTACACTTTACTTTTAATTTGGTGTCTTGCTTATTGTATTTCATGTATTCTTTATATTTTATTTCTCTTTTTTCTATATTCAGGTTTCCAATCTTGATTTCCCAGTATTAGAAAACCTAATGAAAACAATTGTGAAGGAAAAGCAGCCATTTGAGCGTCTTGAAATGACCAAAGAAGACTTGTTGGAAATGTTCAAGGTGAAGAACTTTGCCTGAACAGAGGGTTGAAATGTTCAAAATATGACTTACTGAAGCTTAATGTTATATTAATTTTCAGTACAATGAGTTCAAAGTCCGCATTCTGAATGAGAAAGTGACGACGCCAACCACCACTGTTTACCGTTGTGGTCCCCTGATTGATCTCTGCCGTGGTCCTCATGTTAGAAATACAGGCAAGATCAAAGCTCTGAAAGTTACCAAAGTGAGTGCAGAATTTTCATTGCTGGTGCTCCAAAACTGATTCTGTTAGCTTTCCATCCAGATTTCTCATTGTGTTTTTTCTTCTAGAACTCTGCTACCTATTGGGAAGGCAAGGCTGATGCAGAATCCCTTCAAAGAGTTTATGGAATCTCATTCCCTGATCCGAAGCAGATGAAGGAGTGGGAAAAGTTCCAAGAAGAGGCAGCCAAACGAGACCATCGTAAGCTTGGCAAGGTAAATTTTTCCTTTTTAATTTTAATTTAATTTTTTTTTAACTAGTGAGCATAAGTTGTAACATTTGTTTGCTTGTTTAGGAACAAGAACTGTTCTTCTTCCATGAGCTAAGTCCTGGTTCATGCTTTTTCCAACCGAAAGGAGCACACATTTACAATTCTTTAGTTGAATTCATCCGTGAGGAGTACAGGAAGAGAGGGTTCCAGGAAGTTGTGTCACCTAACATTTACAATGCTAAACTCTGGAAGACCTCTGGTCACTGGGCTCATTATGCGGTAAGTCCAAAAATATAATTGTTTATTCCTTTTAAGTTACAATAAATAACCTGTACCTGAACTTATCTATTGAAATTTATTTTAGGAAAATATGTTTTCATTTGAAGTAGAAAAGGAGCAATATGCCTTGAAGCCCATGAATTGCCCCGGACATTGGTGAGTAAGCTGCTCATTTCGGTCAAGCCTCCAATTTAGTTGGTGTTCACTCCTCACAACTTTTCTTTTTTTCAATTTCTAGTTTGATCTTTGACCACCGCCCACGTTCATGGAAGGAGCTGCCCTGGCGAGTAGCAGACTTTGGTGTTTTGCACAGAAATGAATTCTCTGGTGCTCTCAGTGGTTTGACAAGAGTGAGGAGGTTCCAGCAAGATGATGCCCACATTTTCTGTATGCCTGATCAGGTCCGTTTGGTGAAGGATTGTCTGGATTTGATCTCAGTTTATCGGTTAGTGACATGTTTTTTTTTTCTTTTACAGATCAAGTCTGAAATCTCAGGTTGCCTGGATTTCATGAAGCATGTCTATGGAATCTTTGGATTCACTTTCCAGTTAAAACTGTCTACCCGCCCAGAAAAATTCTTAGGTGAAATTGAAATATGGAATAATGCTGAAAAGGCAAGTCTATTCAACATATGAATGCAGAAAATTTGTGCAGGTGAGGTACCATGCTTATGTGGAAATTTTACAGGCGCTTGCTGAAAGTCTGAACGAGTTTGGGCAGCCATGGAAGGAAAATCCAGGGGATGGAGCCTTCTATGGACCCAAGATTGATATCACAATCATGGATGCCCTTCGTCGTCAACACCAGTGTGCCACAATCCAGCTTGATTTCCAACTGCCTGTGCGCTTTGATCTCTCATACATTGGGTAAGTCCTCTGAAGTTTCTATCTTGATAGCATGTGTTTCACCCAGCATGTTATTGTATTTGTAATCTTTTTTTTTCCTAGGGATGATGGTGAGAAGAAGCGCCCGGTAATGATTCATCGGGCCATCTTGGGCTCAGTTGAGCGCATGATTGCTGTACTTACTGAATCTTACGCGGGCAAGTGGCCATTCTGGTTGTCGCCACGACAGGCTATGATCATCCCAGTGGCAGTCCCCTTCAACGAATATGCCACAAAGGTTTGTTTGGTGCCAATATTTTCTAATAAATGTTTATCCTTTGTCTTGTTTTATATTTATGATTGGGTCTTTCCAGGTGAAGCAACAAATATTTGAAGCTGGTTTCATGTGTGATGTAGATGTTGATGATAGTGACACAATGAACAAGAAAATCAGAAATGCTCAGTTGGCTCAATACAACTTTATCATGAGTAAGTTGTCTGTTTTTTTTGTGGTTGCAAACTTCATTTATTCTTGTTGGGTTCCAGTATTTGATTTTCGCTTCCCTCTTTTTTAGTTGTTGGTGAGAAGGAAGTCAACGGAAACACAGTCAATGTCCGCACCAGAGACAACTTGGTTCACGGGGAGTTCTCTATTGATGCTGTCATTGACAAGTTCAAGGTGCTTGCCAAGACCCGCACTATCAAGAGTGAAGAGGACTTCTAAAGTTACTGTACTATTATTATGTGATCAACTGATTTTCTTGGGTTCAAAATGTCTTGGTAGCTTTTTTTTTTTTACTTTTACCAGTGCATATGATCGTGAGTGAGATGAATTTTTAATTTATTGATGAAATAAACTGTGGGAGATAACTGTAATTGGCTGTTTAATTTTCTTTTCCTCTCAATGTTCGAACATTGAAAACCAGTGAATTGGTTGGTCCATCATTGTGGAACAGTATAATCAAATGGGCATATAGTAGGATATACAAATCTAAGTATTTTTTTATTTCTTGCTTCGTGCATTCAAAACATTACCATCAAAAGCATTCAGAAGGAAAGAGACTCCTCTCATGGCGAGGGGAAGTCCGCTGGGACGCTTCCGGTGAGAAGGTCTCTGCGTCCTGATTCCGAAGAGGAGTTGCATGCTTCGTGGGGCGTCCCGAAGGATTGCGAGAGAGAAGATTCCTGGGAATCACCCTCCTGGCAGTGGACTGGCTTGAATCTCACTGACAGCGAGCACCACACTCGAAACAGGACGACGCCGCACGTGCACGCCCCCAGGCGTGCCGGATACGCCGGCGGAGCCCGTCTGCCACTGCAGACGGACGGGCCTCTAAAGTTGTTTCCGTCGCTCTGTCTCTCTCGCACTCGCGGGGCGTTCCGAAGGGGTGCGAGAAGGACGCGCCCACCCGCCGCACAGTGGGCCAGAAGACCGGTGGAGGCGGCCGAAACTCTAGACGCGTTTTGAGCTCCACAGTCGCTGAACAGGACTCGAACCGAACGCGTGACCCCACCAATGGATTCCTCGTTCGGAGACCAATCCATTGGTGGGGTCACACGTTCGGTTCGAGTCCCATTTAGCGACTCTGGAGCTCAAAACGCGTCTTGAGTTTCGCACGCCTGCGCCGGTCTTCTGGCTCACTGAGAGAGGGGTGGGGGCAGAGGGGGTGGGCCGCGCAGCCTGTGGCCGGGCAGCCTGTTGGGCGCTGCCGCTTCGCGCGCTTCGGCCGGCGTGTCTGCAGCGGCTCGGCGGCCTGGCTGGTCCCTGCCCTGCCCGCTCCGCTGCCTGCAGTCCCTCAGCAGACGCCGGCGCGCTCGCAACCTGCCCCGCACCCCGCTGCGCTGCGCTCCCCCGAGGCCGTGCTCCGCGAGCTCCGCGAGCTCCGCGAGCTCCGCGTCGACACCGGCGTCGCCGTGACGGTCGTGACGTCGCCGTGACGGTCGTGACGTCGCCGTGACGGTCGTGACGTCGCCGTGACGGTCGTGACGTCACCGTGACGGTCGTGACGTCGCCGTGACGGTCGTGACGTCGCCGTGACGGTCGTGACGTCGCCGTGACGGTCGTGACGTCGCCGTGACGGTCGTGACGTCGCCGTGACGGTCGTGACGTCGCCGTGACGGTCGTGCGTGACGTCGCCATGGCGGCATGCTCCGCGTGCCGCGGGTCGCTACGCGGGCGGCGCTTGACCGGCGCGCTGCCCGCCGAGCTGGCCGGCCTGGCCGCGTCCCCCGAAGCCCGCCGTTGAGTCCAAGAAGCAAGAAGCCGACCCGCCGGAAGTCGACGTTTTTCCGTTCCGTCGCCCAGCTAGCTGCGGCTTCGGAGTTCGGACAAGACTTCGGCCCGGCTCGGCCCATCCGGCGGCACCTGCTCGACGTCACCGACGTTCCACCGTTTGAGCAGCGAGGAGCGCGACCGCGCCCCGTCCCCAGGGCGCGCACCCGGCACCCCCAGGACCACGCCGGCACGCCACGGTACGTGTGTGTGTGTGTGTGTGTGTGTGTGTGTGTGTGTGTGTGCGTGTGTGTGTGTGTGTGTGTGTGTGTGTGTGTGTGTGTGTGGGTACGTGCGTGCGTGTGTGCGTGTGCACGAGTGTCAGTGAAAGAGTCTATGTGTGTGTGTGAGAGAGAGAGAGAGAGAGAGAGAGAGAGAGAGAGAGAGAGAGAGAGAGAGAGAGAGAGAGAGAGAGAGAGAGAGAGAGAGAGAGGGAGGGGAGGAGGCAGGGGGAGAGAGGAAGGGAGTGAGAGGAGTGAGAGAGAGGAAGGGAGAGCAAGAGGGAGAGAGAGGAAGGGAGAGGGAGAGAGAGGGAGAGAGAGAGAGGGAGAGCAAGAGGGAGGGAGAGGGCGAGCAAGAGGGAGAGAGAGGAAGAGAGGGTGCGAGTGTGAGTGTGCGTGCGTGTATGAGTGCGTGAGCCTTGCGTGCATGCATGTGTGGTGTGTGTGAGCGTGTGTGTATGCATGCGTGCACGCATGTGTTTGGATGGCCACGCACGCAAAGCTGCCGGCGGCGCACTTGTTAAACAACCCCCTCCCCCTCCCTCTCTCCGAGGGGCCGCGCCGCCTGGGTCCTGGCTCTGCCCCTGCCGCCCGGGGCCAGTATGAGGTGGCGGTCGCTGACATCGTGTTTGGTGTTGCGGCCGGCAGGAATGCGCGGCAGACTGATTACGAGAGTCGTTTTCGTCGCTCTGTCTCTCTCGCACTCATGGGGCGTCTCGTCTGGGTGCGAGAGAGACAGAGCGACGAAGGTGACTCTCGGGATCAGCCTGCCGGCCGCTGCACAGTGGGCCAGAAGACCGGCCAAAACCCTAGAGGCGTTTTGAGCTCCAGAGTCGCTAAGCAGGCCTCGAAACGAACGAGTGACCCCACCAATGGATTGCTCTCCGAACGAGGAATCCATTGGTGGGGTCACACGTTCGGTTCGAGTCCCATTTAGCGACTCTGGAACTTAAAAAACGTCTAGAATTTTGGCCGCCTCCACCGGTCGTCTGGCCCACTGTGCGCTGGATGCAGCGGTGTGCACGGACCCGCAGCCAAGCCGCCAACCCGCACTGTGAAACGGTGCTATGCTGCCGCCCGCCCAACACCCACCCGCAGGCCGCAGGGACAACAAACTTGTTTCAAATTCACAACTCTGTGACTCGTAACTCGCCGCGCTATTTCTGGACTTCAAACGACACTCACTGCACAGTGGCCCAGAAGACCGGTTGAGGCGGTTAAAATCTCGGACGCGTTTTGAGCTCCAGAGCCGCTGAATGTGACTCGAACCGAACGTGTGACCCCACCAATGGATTCCTCGTTCGGAGAGCAATCCATTGGAAGGGTCACACGTTCGGTTCGAGTCCCATTCAGCGACTCTGGAGCTCAAAACGCGTCCACAATTTTGGCCGCCTCTACCGGCCTTCTGGCCCACTGTGTGGCGGTCCGTGTCCGCGCTCGGGGTGGCGCCTCACTTTGCCGCATCACTGTTGCGGCGGGGAAATTCCACGAATTCTTCTCGTTTCTACCGGGCGGGGCGCGGGGACCGCGTGGCGCGTCAACAGAATGACATAAAATAAAATTAACAAACGAAAGTAAATAAAAAAAGGTGCCGCAGACGTGCAATAACAATGCCAAAGCCGATGACAGCAAAGATTAATTTTCCTGTTTCTTTCTTTTTTTTTCAGGGGTTTTCGTCCTGCGTGTCGTTCCCTCGTCGCTGCGCAGTGACCACTGAGTGACAAGGCGAGGGAAGGCGACCCAAAATGAAGCTCCTGCTCTTCCTGTGGACGCTGGGTTAGTACAGGCACGCACTCACGGCAAATGACCGTGACCGACGCAGTCGCGCACCATCGCCCCGCCCTAGCTCACCCGACCCCGCCCTGCCCCGCCCCGCTCCGCCCCGCTCCGCCCCGCTCCGCCCCGCTCCGCCCCGCTCCGCCCGCTCCGCCCCGCTCCGCCCGCTCCGCCCCGCTCCGCCCCGCTCCGCCCCGCTCCGCCCCGCTCCGCCCCGCTCCGGCGCCCGCTCCGCCCCGCTCCGCCCCGCTCCGCCCCGCTCCGCCCCGCTCCGCCCCGCTCCGCCCCGCTCCGCCCCGCTCCGCCCCGCTCCGCCCCGCTCCGCCCCGCTCCGCCCCGCTCCGCCCCGCTCCGCCCCGCTCCGCCCCGCTCCGCCCCGCTCCGCCCCGCTCTGCCCCGCCGCGCCACGCGCTAGCACTCTCGACGGCACTCCCGCCGCCAACCACCGCACCGGAGCGCCCGCAGACCGACGAGTAGGCAACCCGCTCGCACCGGTGTGTAGCGGTCCACCCTGCTGCCTACCTCAAAGGCGCTCCAAGCAGTGTCTCACTGTGACAAGAAGACCGTATAGTCGCTGAATGGGACTCGAACTGAACGTGTGACCCCACCAATGGATTGCTCTCCCAACGAGGAATCCATTGGTGGGGTCACACGTTCGGTTCGAGTCCTGTTTAGCGACTCTGGACCTCAATACGCGTCTAGAGTTTTGACCGCCTCCAACAGTCTTCTGGCCCACTTTGAGGCTCTCCTCCTCCCCCCCTCTCTCTCTCTCTCTCTCTCTCTCTCTCTCTCTCTCCTCTCTCCTCTCTCTCTCTCTCTCCTCTCTCTCTCTCTCCCCCCCCCCCTCCTCTCTCTCTCTCTCTCTCTCTCTCTCTCTCTCTCTCTCTCTCTCTCTCTCGTCCGCTTTGTCACCAGGTCGCACTGCCGCGGGCTGATCGCTCTGTCTCTCTCGCGCTCCCGCGCGACGCCCCACGAGTGCGAGAAGGACAGAGCGACGAAAGCTCTGTTCACCATTCATTTGCGTTGCGTCCTGGAGTCGCGAGCGGCAGCACCCTGTCGCCCGGCCAGGGCTTCGGTAGCATGTCAGGGATTTCGGGGCAGCAGACTGCTTCCGTGACAGTCGTCGCTCTGTCTCTCTCGCACCTGTGCGGGACGCCCCGTGAGTGCGAGAGAGACAGAGCGACGGAAACGACTCCCGGAATCTCTGCTCATTGAGCGGAGGGAACGTGCCTGGGCCCTGAGCCCCGCTGCTTTGGCTGGCTCGGAATTATTAATTCCTAAACGGGGAATCACGAGGCACGACCATTTCTCCTGAAACGAACATGTCTGCCAACATTCTCCGAGGAAAATGCGACACATGCTTTATCATTATTTGGCAAATATTCGCCGCTACTCGTTATTTCGGGATGTTTACAGACTTGCTGATTTTGTTCCTAAACTCGCTGTGCGAGGAAAAGAGCAGGGCGCCAGGTCCGCGGGGTAAGGGGCGGGGGTGCACTGTGGGCCAGAAGACCGGCGCAGGCGGCCAAAACTCCAGACGCGTTTTTGAGCTCCAGAGTCGCTAAATGTGACTCGAACCGAACGTGTGACCCCACCTATGGATTCCT